ACTCTCCTCGCCGAGTGTAGAAAAGTCAACAAAAATTTGTTTTTAATTTACAATTTAATATGCGTTATAAAAAATTGGACTCAATGACGAGACATAAATATTTATGAAGGCTGCTCGGCTGGACCAGAAAACTAACAGACATGGGGTTCCAGTCTCAGTCCCGAGGACTATCTCAATGGGCTTGTTTGATCCAAAGAGTACGCTACAGTTTTATGGCCAGGATGTGCGTCATATAAGGTGTGAGAACTAAGAATCTAGTATCTAGAGATAATGGAAAATCTTAGCTATTTTATTAGATTTTATAAATTGTAGAATCTTTATGGCCCCCACCGATATGCTCGCTGCAATCACCTACAATCTTCTGGACACACATTCCTCTGGAATTTGTCAAAAAGCCAACTTGTGACTCGATTTCAAATATGCCACACACATTCGCATAAATTGCCAAACTTGGCCAACAGCCACCGTCCTTTTTGGAGGCGTCGATGTCGCCGTTTCGGCCAGCCCCAGACTGCGCCTCATTATTTATTATGAATTCTATAAATATTAATGGATTTTTAAATGCAATTATAACAACTAATTAATAATGTGCATTTTAAAGTCGAGCGCAGCCAGTCTGTCAGTCCGAATCGATATCGAACTGGAAGTGGAACTGAAACTGAAACTGAAACCCGAGGCATTTGACGTATTGGCTGACGTATTTATTGCTTGTTTTCTCGCTTCTCGGCCAAGTCTACTTCGGATACGAGTTGGCCAAAAAACAAGGTGCGCGAAAAAATTAAACGAGAATGTCTGACAGAATTTATTTTAATTAGTGCGAGCAAGCTGTGATCGGCATACGAGATGAGCTCGTTCCAGTGAAGATTGTGGGCTTTTTCATGAGGGGGGCTTAGGAGTACCCATATAGTATTGCCAATCCATGGATTGGCAATCAGCAAAATGGCAAATGGCCATGGGCAATCATAGATCTTGGTGATCAATGATCACTGATCGCTGATCACAGGCTGGAAATGCCGACAGAGATCAGAAAGTATAGTTTTGCTGATCGCGCTGATCGTATCGATTACACACCGTTCGACTTCTGTTGGGTTCAGGTCAATTGCCCTCGGGTCCGTGGTAATCGATATGCCGGAATCCGATACCTCCGGCGGGAACTGAAACTGCAACCGACACTGGGCTGGCTTACACTCTGGTATCTTAAGTAGTTACTTTATGTTTTCAGATGCCGAGCCGTTGATAAGATGTCTATACACTTGGGGAAAATATATGGATAATATTTAAGAGATATATTTTAAATCCCTGGACATATACCCTTAACCATTTCTTTCAATGTAACTCCCTGGTATCCCAGTTGATGATCGGTAGCCATGAATATATGTATGTGGGACTGTCCAAATCACTTTCAGGCGCCATAATGCACCCAGCATCAGTAGACCCCATCTCCCGGTGGAGAGAATAGACTTAAGGGGGGGTCCAGCTCTCGCCGTGAGAAATATATACATGAATATTATGCAGAGAAAGGCCCGGGTGATCAATCCACTGAGCCATCGATCCATCGATCCATCCAAACATCTTAACAAATTATAAGGCCCGATGGCGCCCTCTCGGGTCGTCGTTAAGTATCTCAACTAGTAGCCGCTAGGCAGCCACGGAAAGTGATCATCTCGGCGACAGGCCATCGATCATTCAACAAATCCCGGCGACCGGAGACCGAAAAACTAAAAACTGGCAAAAGGAAAAAAATATATCAGAGATTCAAAAAATCCAAGACGGAGAGAAAGAGGCATGCTGGCGTGGTAGAAAGCGTGTTGGAAAATTAAATCATCGTTGCTTGTGGTCTGCAACCCGGAGTTACCTCCCGATCTTAATGATGTTGAACGCACCTTGAGCACCGTCTTAGTAACTACCAGAAGAGAACTGGAGAAAAAACGAGCAAGATCTCTATCAGCGGGTTAACTCGTTTAGCATTTAGTTGCAGGCGCCTATGCCCCGCCAGTTAACTTTATCATGTAGTTTGCATCTTTCCCAGGATCGGGATCGGTATTGGGATTGGGATTGGGATTGGTCTTCGGCCACGCCTCGAGCTCTATAAGTCTGGTAGGCTTATTAGGCGCAGACAGTGTCGTTTATATCATTTATATTATTTTATGACGTTTCTCTCAACCTTTTCTGTTTCTGTTTCCTTATCGTTTCTGTAACTTATGTGTAACTTGTAGTTTTGGCAGTTTACCATCTTCTGGCAGGCAGGTGACATGTCCGAATGGGTTAATTGGGGTTGACCATGATTTATTGAACTGTCAGGGAGTGAGGGAAAAAAGCCTTAGCCTAAGACCCCTTGATTATGGGCATTAATAAGCTGATGGTCTTTTAATATGGATATGACTTTGGTTAGGCTATGGGTTGTATGTTAATTATGGCATCTGTGTGGGTTGTTTGGGAGCTTCCGTCTGGGCATCCACCTCCACCTCCGGCACCGGCACCGGTGCCTAATCTGAACACATGTCCGGCTACTGTTCATCTGCATCTGCAGATCCAGGGCGGTAGATAGCAGCCTCTCAAACGATGTCCTTGTCGAGTCGTCTGGCGCCACAGGGATACTTGAGGCGAAGCAGCCACTTGTCGCGTCCCCTTATGGCAAGGCGCGACAAAGGACAATAGAAAATTATTACTTCAATTGGCGACAGACAGGGACTCAGGTACTTGTTTGGTACATCTCAAGCAACTGAGGATGCCGCCTCCGGACACTTCACACCCGGACGGGCCAAGACACACCGCAAAACGACCTGCCATGAGAAAAATCCATAAAATGAAAAGAAAAACTTAGGAACGTGGTCACTTTGTGGGCTGTGCCGACGTCTGGGTTGCTCTAGTTCACGGTGACGCAATTGCACCTGAGGACATCTCGACATCCAAAAGGACATCTCGATATCTCGGCAGAAATCTAGTCACATCCCCAGCTGTGACTACTGAACTTGTATTTTTATTGCGTTGGTCCTTTGTCGGTCTCTCTTGAGCAGGCGTGAAGCGTTACAATTCCGAATCAAATCTTTTGTTCTAAACTGAGACCCATAATTCGTCTGATATTTGTACAAAAATATTTTACGATGCTCTGGCGCCTGGGGCAGCCAGAAATTATCATCATCAACCTCATGGACAAACATGGGCCGGAGATATGCCGTCTCGTCCGGATCCGGACACTGACTTTCGGTTGGGTTGGGTTGTGGGAACTCATTTGGATGAGCGTGCCACAGCGACTGCCACAGCGAAAATGCAAATTTAATGGGAGTTTCGTGGACGAGACGAAAACTTAGTCGCAGACTCACTTTCTAGTCGATTAAAGGTGAAGTCGAGCCTGAAATTATTTGCTGGCGACGTAGGGCTAAGGTTGGGATGGAATGCATCCTAAAAACTGACATCAGGTTCAAGATCAATGTCACGAAAAATAATTAAAATCTTTTTAAATTAAAAAGTTTAGGGAATACGTTTTATTTTGGTTTTTGTTTTATGAGGGGTATTTCATTTATAAATGGATCCTAAATACTATGGAATGGTTTTTCTTTATTAAAAATAAGTTAGCTTTAAGACAGATAGTATTAATATGATTTAATTATCCTTTTCTTTAAATAATAGTAGAATTTTTTGATTGCATTTATTAAGGAACTATGATATTTTAAACTATATTTACTGAATGATTTGGATATATGGATGAGCTATGTTTACCTACCTTTCTCATATACCTACATATATGTTTTTATTTTTAGTCGATCTTTTAGTAGAATCAGTTGCCGCATAGTTAAGAACAAGCTTCTTTATAAAGTATGTGAAAATAAACGTGTCTTTTAATAATATTTAAAAAACCTTTTCCTTGTAGATAATATTACTCCTTTCCTTTTCCTTTCCCTTTATGAATTTAAGTGTTAAGCACTTTTATTACCTCGTAATACCGTAATACTCTATAACTCATTAACTTATAATAATAGATAATCCCCATGTGTCTCGAGAAATTGCATTCCAATCTCCCGCCCTTGGAACCACTTTAGGCCACAATTTCCAATGCTGACAAGCACTAATCAAAAGGCTAATTGTTCCCAGTCCCCAGACCCATATCCAAAAATGTATCAATTTTGGTTTTGGTTTTAAATTTTTTGTTGGTTTAGCCCATCGAAGAAGGACTGGCAAATCAATGGCGCATGGTGCTGCATATCGAAGAATTTCCAAAACAGGCAATTAACAAAGAAAACAAAATTTATGTTTCACCTGTCCGAATAAAAGTACATAAATACCCAAGAAATGCCAGACAATGCCAAGGGGAAGCCAAGATAGAGGGACCCCTGGCTAATTACATGGAGGAGGAGAAGGCCAGAAGGCGAGGTAGGAGATGGAGGAGGACGGATGGCCCTAAGCGGAAGACGGCTGCATTGAAAATAGCAATGGACATTTTCCGACAGCGCCAAAAAAAAAAAAACAAAAAAAAAGAAAAGAAAAGACGGCAGCTGAAGACAGCAGACAGGCACGCTGTGGAAAATCTCACTTCTGAATTACAGGCACAACCTCGGATATAGCCAGTCCCTCTTGGCTGACTGACAGTGATCGAGTGAGTGAGCGAGAGAGGGAGTCGGGAAGGGAGGCCGGCTCCGGGGGAAAGGCCATTAGCAGGAGCGAGAGGAGGCCCAGTGCAGTGGCGCAGAAAAACACTGCGGCTGATGAAAATCAACAGGCCTAAGCGTTAACTTCGCCACTCAGCCAGCTTCTCCTACATACGTTTTCCGATCTTCACTCTCCCTCGCTATAGCCCTGTCTCACTCTTCTTGTGTCTCCCCCTTGCTCACAAAATGGCGCCCGGAAAATATCACCCAACTTCCTCTTGAACGGGACAGCTATAGCTGCAGCGTAGGTGTCTCCCAGCCAGCCAATCAGCGAGGATCGCTCCGGAAAACCAGTTCGGCAGGTAGCTGCTTCCAAAAAAAAACTGGCTGCGGGCAGCAGAGACTTGGCACTTGAGCCAGCTACTCGAAGATCAGTTCGTTGCGAAACGTCGAGCGTGCCAGAACTTCAGAGCGCTTCTTCAGTTCCGAAACACAAGTCAAGTGTGAAGAGTGAAAAATATAAAGAATTCTCCGAGTCTTGGGAAGAAATTCCAACTTATTATGTTATAGTGAAAATAATAAGAGAAAAAAAATCTAAGAAAATGCTTTCCATGCAAGAGCTAATGGATATGCGAATGCAGCAGCAGTTGGCTCATGAGATCTACCGCCAGCAGATCATGCAGCGTATACCAGGTGAGTTTGTAAAGAAAATGCCGTCGGGAAGAGAATATATGTAGCTTATAGAAAGGGAAACTTTATAGAAGTTCTACCAACTTTAATCTCAAAATAAAATGAATCTGGACATAATCCAATCTAAAAGTCTTAGCTTCTTGACTAACCGAAACCCATTAGATCTCAAGATTCTTTTTTTAGTGCCGATTCAGAGTTCCCTAGGCTAACTACCAAACATCGATGTGAAACTAACGAACTAACCAAACCGCTTCTTCCAGATCCCTTTCCGGCAATGCTGCCTTTCGGCCTGCCCCATCAGCCGCAAATCATGCTGCCCAGCCGCCCCGCCCTGCCGGGTGTGGAGGCCAAGCTGGAGAACAACGATCTGTGGCAGCAGTTTCATAAAATCGGCACCGAAATGATCATCACAAAGAGCGGCAGGTAAGATGATTTCCCGCGAACGCATTATCCTATGCAAATAGCCAAATAGTTTTCCACGATCGCAGAGTCAAGTGTTTTAGAGTATAGAGAGTGTGACCTATGTAAATATTTGCTCCTGTCCCTGGGCCAAGACAGTGTCTTTAGTTTCATTTGGTCCGGTCTGGGCCTAATGTGGCGCCTGGCCATAATTCAAAACGCAGCAGGAGCTCTCTGCCGGTCTCTACCCGGCCCAGAGTGACAACAAGTGCAGTGTGTGTGCTGTGTGCGTGTGGATGGCTGGAAGAATGGGCTGGGTATGGGTATTGAGATCGGGAATATGGGTATGATGGGAATGTCTTTGCGGAGAATGCCGAGAACGAAGAATAAGACGCCGCCCTGGCGCCGGTCGGCTCATAAACATTTTTTTTCTTTTCGGGTTTCGGCGTTGACAATCGAGTCTGGTCGAATCTACCTGCGCTTTTCACACTTTGCCGGGATGCTGTGACCCCTCGCCGTCCGATCCGATCCGATCCGATCCGAGAGAAACCTCAGAAATATACCGTAGATCGATAGGAGGGGGAACTATCTTTCAGTGACTACCGAGCGGGAGCCGCGACAAATTTACATAATTATGAGTTGAACTCGAAATTAAAGTGCAGAGGGAGAAATAAAGCATAGTATTCAGATCTGATTTGCGGCAAAACTTTTAAGAAAATTTCCACAATTCACACATTGTGCTAAGAATAACTTAGCACAAGTGTAAAGCATTTATTTTTTATACAAAGTCTCTTTTTACACAATCATATTTTGATAAAATACAAATTATCACCTTTTGGGAACTTACACCTTTTTTTCGCTGTGTGCGATCCGCTAACACAATCACTTTCTCGGCTCATTAGACATGCATTCGACGCTTGGAAGCCGTTAAGCCAACTCCCAGATCTTGTCTAATTGCTTGGCGCCAGATTCCCCTCCTTTGCCTCTGACCTTTCCCACTGCCCACCTCCTCCAGCCCAAGAAACCAACGAACCACCGATTTGCCGCACAATTAATCATTAGTTGGTGGCATATTGTTTTGGGCTGGTTTGGATCTGTTTGCGTTACGTTTTAAATCGATGCGATCCGCCGGGCTACGATCATTTTTCTCCTCCCGATTTTTTGTGGCGACTCCCCGCTGCCCTGCTGCCAGTCTATATAATTACACACTTGTTAGCCAGAGCCACAAATCAAGAGGGCAAAATAAAAAACAAAAAGGCAAGAAAGTAAAATAGAATAGATGCCCGGGTGACACGCCTCTTTTTGCGATCGGTTTGGGGATTTCTGATTTATATGCATTTCGTTGGCAGGCCACTTAATCAAGTCCTATTCTCTTCCTTTGTCTTGCAGGCGTATGTTCCCCTCGATGAGGGTTTCGCTGAGTGGTCTGGAGGAGGAGGCCAGCTACTGCGTGCTCCTCGAGATGGTGCCCATCGGCGATTGCCGCTACAAGTTCTCCGGCTCCCAGTGGGTTCCGGCCGGAGGTGCCGAACCCCAAAGTCCCCAGCGCATGTACCTCCATCCGGATAGCCCGGCCACAGGTGCTCATTGGCAATCACAGGCTCTCCTGTTCAACAAAGTCAAGCTCACCAACAATACCCTGGATAGCAATGGACATGTAAGTTACACAACTCTTCATTTTCTAAACAGATTACTTATTGAATATTTTCTCTATTATTTTTAGATTGTCCTGGCCAGCATGCATAAGTACCAGCCACGCCTGCACATCATCCGGAGCAATGAGCTCACCCAGCTTCCCTGGGCGCCGCAGCAGGCGTTCGTTTTCCCGGAGACGGAGTTCGTAGCTGTCACGGCCTATCAGGTGGGTTGAGTTCCAAACGCTAAACGGTCCTCCCATTGAGGACTTGTCTGTTTATCAGGACAAAGACTCTGTGGGGGTCCAGTACTAAATAGAGGCATTTGTCGCCTAGCCAGACCACTTGAGATATCCCTACTACTCTCCGGCGCCAGTCCATGTTTTCAATTTCTAATTTTACTTTTTTCTGATTTTTGCAGAACGATCGCATTACCAAGCTGAAGATCGACAACAATCCCTTTGCCAAGGGATTCCGCGAGTCCGGCCAGTCGAGGTGCAAGAGGAAGCTCAACCAAAGCGGAAACTCCAGTCTGGAGTCCGAGGACGATGGCTCCAGTGTGAGCAGCTGCGACTCTCCGCAGGCCAAACGTCAGCGCCAGGACTTTGAGCAGGACTCTACGGGCAGCAGTTCCCCTGCCTATTACAGTTCTCCTCCGGCTGCCTTGAGTCCTTCTGCTCTGTCGCCTTACGGCCATCGCCTTCCTTTGAGCTATGGCCCCGTAATGCCACCCTACTTCGGAGCAGTGCCTCCTCAAGCCCTACCGATGCCACCAGCTGCCTATGTGCCACCTCCCATGGAGTCCTTGGAATCCCCAACGCCCTCAGTCGTCTCCAGCACACCAGTCACCTCACCAAGACCTTCCACCTCCACCAAACGAAACAGTTTCAGCATCTCGGCCATTTTGGCCTACTAGATCTGATCGTGGGGCTAGAATCCTGTTGAAGTCTTCTTTTGTGATTTGTGAGAAACGTGTGCATATACTTTTGTAAGCTATTGTATCCTACTTTTAAGCTCACCATATAATTTGTTAATTCGTTTTAAGTGTCTTTTGGGGCAAAATAAAATAAAAAGAAGAAATATTGAATCAAAACTAAATGCAAAACTATTTGATTTCTGCGAGGGGCAACCTTCAGCGTTTCCGTTTTTACAGGTTTGGCTTAAAGTTGCTTGGCGACCGCTTTGGCGGGCCTAAAACAAATTAATGCTCTCCATTATGGTGGCTCAGTTCTTGACCAAGTATACTCGTATCTGAAACACTTCCAACTCCGGTAGTAGTTAAAACAATTCTCGAACGATAAGGCGTCCATTATGAGCAGCGATTTGACGGCTTTCAAGCCGTTTGGTCTTTGCCGATCCAGCTAACCACCGACTGCCATCCGTCTCGTTAAGAGCAGATGACGCACAAGTCCATGCACTGAAAAAAATTATACATTGTAGAGAGATTTAAGAGCCTTCTTTAAGGATTAGGCCCAATTCTGTTTAAAAAACTACCTGTTGATTGATTTACATTTTTCAAAAATATAGAAAATCTGCGGTTTAAAAACTAAATTCTTCTCTAGAAACTATAAGAAATATTCTGTAAGCTTCCTATTTTTCTCTGTGCATCCAACTGCTGCCGTCTTGTGAAATTTTCGTTTTATCGCACCTTTTATGGCCATTGGCCAGGTCCAAACGAAGTGGAAGCTGGCTCAGAAACTGATCCGAGGCTTTGGTGTGGTCGGTCGGTGCTCGACGGCCGGTGGTGGTCACTGGTGGTGGTCAGTGGTCACTCCTTGTGTGTGCATTATCGTGTCAAATGCGACAAATCTGTCCGTGGGCCGGCGGCTGCCTTTCAGGTTGCATAATTGAGCTGATAACTCAACGGTTTAGTGGCAGTGTGGCATCGGATGTGTGTGTGTGCGGTCCACTTTGAGAGGTTAGCCACCAAAACGGTGGCGCCAAACATTTCGTGTTTAATATTTTTAATTAAGTTTTTAAGTGCATCCAGTAGGCCAAAGAGGAAGCCGAAGAAGAATCATCTGTAATCGAGTTGGACGACCCACTCTCCCCAGAAGGCGGAAAGTTCAAAAGGGCGATCGAATCACGACGCCCATTCATAGAAAACTTTTGCATAGATTATGCATAATAGGCCGAGTATAATCCGAGGCAGCGCGAAATAATTCACTGGCCACACGAAACCGCGTCCGAGGAGCTGCTTTGACTAATTTGAGCTTAGTTTTGTATTAGAGACTTTTAGGTTTTTTAAGTTGCATAAATTAGCATACGAAATGCTGAAACAATTAAATTATGGGATTTGCACGTTTTCACCAAAAACAAAAGGTGACCACAACACAAACACACACCCTACACACATAATAACTTGTCGGCGTCTGAGCTTCAGAAGTGTTTTTTAATATTTAGCTTTATTTTTTTGTGGCTGATTCGGACCTGGCTTCTTCTCTCGAAAAACAGTGGCAAAAAGCGTCAAAAATCGTAGATTATGAGATAAAAATGCAAATGAAGAAACCGTCCGTAGCTTCGTCGATATTGCATTTCTAATTTGCGCTTGTTTTAATATACTTAATGAATTTTTATGCGCATAGGTTAGGTCTGAAGCAGTGATCCGAATCCGAATCTGAATCCGATATCCAAAAATGTATCTGAAACCAAATCCGGTTTGCGGTCAAAGCTGTTGATAATGATAATGAGGATAACGATGCTTTATTGAGAAGGTGTTGCCGTTCGTATCTGAATTTTATTTGCGCCACATGCGCTGCTATGGTGTAGTTGTTGCTGCACCAGCTGCTTTTGTTGTACTTTATTGCTAATTATAATATATTTGATTTGGTATTTAAGCTTTAAGCTATAAAAATGTTGGCGTATTCTGTTTTACGATCTGAACAGCCGAGCAGCCGCAAAAGTTTAATTAAATTGTGCGAACAAGAACGGGTCGTCGACGACTGTGATTTTGAATTTATTATCATATATTTAGCACACCTTTTTATATACTTTCTTATAAATTATTTAATATTTATAAATTTAATGCCGTTAGAACTGGTAAAATAGATATAGCTTATACTTTTATTGGTTTCTTTTTTCCAGTTACTTCTTAATTTGTGCCTAACTGCATCTTAAAAGTTGTAATTTTAAAAGAAAGATCATGAGGATATAACCTTTGGCCAAATTGAAACTTTTAGACACTTTTTATACCCTTGCAGAGGGTATTATAATTTTGTCCAAAAGTGTGCAACGCAGTGAAGGAGACATCTCCGACCCTATAAAGTATATATATTCTTGATCAGGATCACCTCCTGAGTTGATATGAGCATGTCCGTCTGTCCGTCTGTCCGTCTGTCTGTCTGTCCGTCTGTCTGTTTCTACGCAAACTAGTCTCTCAGTTTTAAAGCTATCGTCTTGAAACTTTGCACACACCCTTCTTTCCTTTGCACGCAGTATATAAGTCAGAACGGCCCGGATCGGCCGACTATATCCTATAGCTGCCATATAACTGATTGATCGGATATGGTATAACTTTGGTATTTTTAGAGTAAGAGAGTTCAAATTTTAGGTGAGAGCTATTTTTGGCAAAATAATACGACATGCCAAATTTCATAAGGATCGGCCGACTATATCCTGTAGCTGTCATATAACTGAACGATCGGAAATGACCCAACTTTCGTGTTTTTGAAGTTAGAAAGCTGGAATTTAGTACAGACTCTATTTTTGGTCAGTTGATCCAACCTACCAAATTTCATTAGGATCGGCCGACTATATCCTATAGCTGCCATATAACTGAACGATCGGAAATGGTATTTGGTAGAAATATCAACTTTCGTATTTTTGAAGATAGAAGCTTGGGACTTTTTTTAGATTTTGTATTGTAATAAATTGGAGTATATATTCCTATTCCCATAAGGATCGGCCAACTATATCCGATGTTTGCGATATATATCCGGTTTTAACTGCAAGGGTATATAAACTTCGGCTCCGCCCGAAGTTAGCTTTCCTTTCTTGTTTTTTGATTATCTTAGCCATTTCGCATATATGTAAATAAAAATCGGAATACCACTTATGATATAGAACTTTAAAACTCAACGATTCTCTAAAGAGATCAGGAAAATCAAAATAAATAATTTTGACACATTTTTTTTTAAATTTTTATAATGTTACCCCTTTAAAAATTAAAAAAAAAAAATAGGTCAAAAATTTTGTTGTCTTATTTTATTGACAAATGAAAGTACTGAATGTGCAAAGATCTGGAAAGTATAACATTCGTAGATCTGACACAAATTAGGAGAGATATGGTCTCGAGAAGTGGCCTTTATCGGCAGATATTGGAATGGTAGGACATCAAAATATATCTTCATACACAAAACGAAAATTATATCCTTTTAAAACCTTGTATGTATTTATTTCGATTAGCTAATTATAAATGATTTATAATTGTTGTCCTGAAGGACTCCTTACATTAAGAAATAAAAAAAAATTAGGAACAAGTTAAAACAAATTAAAGTTTTAAATTAACTAAAATTAGCTACAAAATACATTGCCTTTTGGCCAACATTTAAAATGAGCCTTAATAATGGCTGGTTTGGTTATCAGGTTATCGCTTTTGGTTTCCTCTAAACAAAAATGGAGTGACCAGCCATATTGAATTGGTATGTGGCGCCATCTCGTGTTAGTTATTAAAGGCAATGGCCCGCAAAAAAGTATGCTATATTTTTTGGCATTTTGTTAGCCATTTACATTCCATTGTTAAGACAATTTTATAAACAATCTTTTGACTTAAAAAACTAATAATATTAAATAAATATATTTTGAATATTTTAAATTATGCCACATCTTATCAAAAATAAAGGCATCTTTTCATAGTCGTAATTGGAAGAGTACTAAAATATTCGTATTGTTGAGGTTACCCTCTACTTTGTGGTGGCTTTAGTTTTTAGTCTCGCGATCGCTCGCTTAGGAAACAGGTGTGAAAACCGCTAACGCTGCGATAAGATCGGTAATTCTTTTGATACTTCCTTAGAAATTAATCGTAAATCATTGAAAAAATATATATGAGCATTATATCTAATAAGTGCTAAAATTAGAATGAAGACTTTATGTCAATTGTGGATTAAAATAAAAGAATTGTATTTCATTATTTACCCAAATTCTTTTTTAGCACAGTGTGTGTATATGCGTGAGTTTGTGAAAGGTAGTGGAGTGATAAGATTAGAGTAGTACTATATGAGAATGTGACGGTTTCAGTGATAACAGGCTAATGTGGCACTTGGATGGTCGCAATACAGAAATTGTAAATAAAAGAAGTCTAACTGAGTCCAAATGACTTACTCATTTGAAAGTAACCAAGCCGAAGTGATCATAAAATAGTGGACAAAACTAGGTGTGCGACAAATGACAATAATCGTAATTATGATAAAAAAAATAATAATATATACACACAAGCTATATATGTACATATATCTATGTATCTGCGTATCTATGGACAGAGGAGATATGCTTATATGAGCAGCTTCCGGCTTTGGTGGCATTTAAACTAAAATGTCCAGCGGAAAATTATCTAAATTGGACTCCACGAGTGCTTCTGTTTATGATAGTGTTACGGCTTCGGTTCGAGGCACTGTAATACGTGGTATTCCGATACAGGTATATGGGTAATCTATTGGCCTATTGGAACTGAAAGTAAATAGTACAAAATTATAGTTAATCGGGATCGACGGAAACAAGTGCAAGTTTTGTAATCTTAAGAGAGAGCGAAAAAGTGAGCGGAACTTTAAAATATTTATTAATACGATTTTTGTTAGCGTAGCAAACATTTTAATTAGTCTACTTAAAAAATAAGTGTTACTAAATAATATATAAAATCCCTTGGCCTGACCATGAACGTGCTATTGGATCAGGGCTAAAAGAGGGCGACTGGCAAAGGCCTAAAGAGAACGCTTCCAACCTGACCAGCAATTAGTGTTTTTTTTGTTTCGTTCATATGTATACTTATTTAGTACTAACCCCATTGTCACTTGTTAGCCACCTGGGTCATTGGCCATTCAAATGGCCATTCAGAGTGGCTTGCACCAGGTTTCTGTGACGGCATAGCCGTATAAAAATCCATTGCAATGAAATCATTTCATTTCGTTTCAGTTTTTGGTTTTAATTTGGTTTTTCTCTCCGATGGTCGTTAACTGGCAGACATGCAATTGTTGCAACATTGCAACATATATACTCATAAGTCTTGTATGTCCGATATATCCGGTATAGTGCTTCCCCCAGTTTGTTGTTGCTGGTCAGCTTGGTGCGTGAGGAAATATTAATAATGCATTTCTTATAAATAGCTGCTGTTTGTAGTCATAAAAAAGTTATTCAACACATTGAATTTTGTATACTCTGCTGCTCACTTTCTGGCCTAAATGTGTTGGCCTATTTTGACACAAACACTTATCAGTAGCCACTTCCAGGTTCTAGCTTGTAATTGCTTTTAGATTAGGTTTAAAATTTCTGACCATTTAGGGTAAAAATTTTCAAAGATATGTACACTGAGCAACAAATGAGTAGATATATGACTCAGTTTTTAAAATTTTTAAAATGTGCATATAACTTATCAGTATGCTTAGTTTAAATTAGTCAATTGAGAATATCATGGATTTTTTTTAGACATATTATGAGGTTATTTACTGATGTTTAAGTGAACAGAATCTAGTTAGAAATTACTAAGATTTATGAAAAAATAGTCACTAATTTAAAAACTAGTATGTAATATTTTTCTTATTATTTTTTATCTTTTTTAGAATGTTTTTTATTTTTTTGTGTATACTTTTTTTTTGTTTAAATAACAGTTGCTTCTAATATCTAATGTTTGTGCTTAGACAGCGACGACACAACGTGAGAGAAAAAAGCAGAAAGCTGAATGACGCTTTTGTTTGTCGCATTTGTTTTGTTTGTGTTTGTGCTCTTTTTACCTGTGATAGAGCAACAGAGAGAGCCAAATAGGTGGGCCAAGAGAGCGAGTGAGCGAGGGCGATTGGAGCTACCTGGGGCACGGCTTGCGACACCTTTTGCCGCCGCTTACGATCCCAGTCGCGATCGGTTGCCGGCCGCAGCAACAACAAAAGCCTAAAAAAGAACAAATAGTGGAACAATATATCTAAAATATATACCTATATGTATATCTGAAATATATATACTCTATCGACACACATTCCCATATATAGATAAAAGTTTAAAAAAAAGTTTACTTTGTGCATGTAAAGCTAACCGATTACTGTGAAGATATGGTAATGCAACTGTGCCTGTGAACTACATATCTGTGTAGATACCTCGTACATACAACGCCTTGCATTTAATGACAACATTACACAAGTTTTATGTTTTTTTTTAGTTCTCGACTTGCGGTGAATGAAATTAACGGTAGCTGGTTGCTTGCATCTTCATCCGCCCTGAGACACACACAGAACTGTCCCACGACATACGGCCAAGAGAGAATCCCAGACTCGGCCATGGCCTCCAATAGCAGCAGCACCACCGACCTGGACAGTCAGGTCAATGTGGAGGATTTGCCCATAACGTTCAAGGTGAGAGCTGAAGTTATAGCATTGCGAAATGTTGATATTCAAATTTAAATGCTGTGAAATGGGTAGTTTGGTGGCCAATGTGCACACACCTTGCTAACAGGGCTTACACTGGGGAAACTTTTTTACAAAATAAAAATATTATATTTTTAGGGAAAGGTTTGATAAATACTTCCTAAAAAACTGTAGCCATAGTTATGTATCATTAAAAACATATGGTTTTAGATTTGCATAATTTTTTTAAATAATAATTATTAATTTTCCAAAAGAAAAAACTATTTTTCTGCGTGTACCAACAAAGTACAACTTAAAAATACCAAAACATACATACCACCCGCATACGAGACATGGCCAAAAATAAAAATAAAAGCCAGACACGCACCCGTCACGCCCTGGTGAACTTGACAAAAAGGTGAGGCATGGGGATGAGGGGCAGGGCCTGAAGCATGGGGCACAGAGTTAAGCAGTGGTATGGACAGCTCACCACATAAGCTCGACTCAGCCAACATTTTGGCTTGGCTGTGGACAATATCCGGTGGCATTCCGGACCCCATAGCTTTCGGATGCAAATGAACCGACGACTCTAACGGCAACGCATGCGCAGCGGAAGTCAATGCCACCAATGAATTATCTCACACACTCCCCCAAACAAAGCTAGTTTTTTTCACAATGTTTACTCATACAACAAAAACATCCAAAAAATTTGTCAGTTTTTTTAAATTTCTTTCTTTTTAGGTAAAATATATTGGCTCAGAGGTGGCACGTGGCCTCTGGGGCATCAAATACACCCGCCGGCCCGTGGACATCATGGTTGGCGTGGCCAAGAACCTACCGCCCAACAAGGTGCTGCCCAACTGCGATCTTAAGGTCTCCACCGACGGTGTCCAGCTGGAGATTATATCGCCCAAGGCGAGCATCAACCACTGGAGCTATCCGATCGACACGATCTCCTACGGAGTACAGGACCTGGTCTATACCCGAGTCTTTGCCATGATCGTGGTCAAGGATGAGTCCAGTCCGCATCCCTTCGAGGTGCATGCGTTCGTCTGCGATAGCCGGGCCATGGCCCGCAAGCTGACCTTTGCACTGGCCGCCGCCTTCCAGGACTACTCGCGGCGGGTAAAGGAGGCGGCCGACGCAGAGGCCGAGGGTGCCACGCCCAGCGACACAATCACGCCCACGCGCCAGAAATTCGCCATCGATCTGCGAACGCCGGAGGAGATTCAGGCCGGGGAACTGGAGCAGGAAACCGAGGCTTAGACCGGATGGCCGTCCAAGGTTCCGGCCGTCCGAATTGTCAATGTGATGTCATAGTTACTTATTGTCCAGTGTTCACTGTATTTGTAAATTGTAGTTCTCTCACCTGGTAGTAGCCTCATACAGCTAATTACCCAAAGCCTAAGTGTTAAAGCGATTTGTAAACGATATTCTATAATAAATATTATAAAATAAAGAGTATTAAGTAGGATCCCAAGACATTTGGATACCAGGAACCTCTATAGTAGAGTAGATATGTTCAATATAAGTGTCCTAATAGGCAAATTCTGGATAGATAGGATCTTCCAGTTTTCTTTTTTACGTTGCTTTTTTACTGACCATCTCTACCGTCCAAAGGTTGAATGCGAAAGGTTAAAAAATAGACACTCAAACCTCTGCACGATGGAGCTGATGAGCTTCTCAAAAAACAGCCTTAAACTTGAATACAATCAAAACACATCCTTTTTTATTTAAAAAATTTTATTTTAATATTTTTTTGGAAAGTTTTGTGTTTTTTCTTTCTTCAACTCCTGGGAACAACAATTCTAAACTTAAATTTCAACTCTCGTGCTCGCGTTTTTTCGTTTTTTTTTCAGAAATGGCCATAAAACTAGGAAATCAAAAAATTAATTTAAAAACTTGCCTAAATTGCAAATGAGTGGGATAGCGTTTGTTTATTTGGGAACTAGGAGGTGAACGGGGATTCCGGTTCCGGTTTTGGGCTAAGTGGGTGGAGGGTGATCCTCCCCAGGATGGCTATCTGTCCATCTATCTATCTTTCTCTCTCATTGTCGGTCTCTATCTAACTGGCATCGGCACGGAACAGGAAACGCCGCTTCCGGGCATCCATCTTGGCCTTGGCTTTGGGTTCTCTAACCTCCGGTTGGGACTCAGTCTCATCCGTTTCCACCTTGGCCGCAGTCACCGGCAGTGTTTGAACCTTGGACATGGCTGGTTCGGCTGCTGTGATGCGACTGTAAATGGGCAGAATGGGTTTCTCCTCCTCGGGCAGGGTTTCCGCTTCGCTTGTCGCCTGGTTTTCCTGAGCGGTATTGGCCTGCACCAGGGTCAAGGGAGCCGCAGCGCCCGGTGTAAGAATCAGCTCCATGGGAGCCATCTGTTCCTTCTTGGGCGTCTGATCCAGACGCTCTTTGACCAGCTCCACAATATCATCGATGCTGATGGAGGGCATGTAGGCGGCGGTGACTAGATTATCCTGGGCATCGACATGGGATTGGTCATCCTCATTATTGCTTTCTTCAGGAATAGGTTCTTTGACATCCTCTGCGGCAGACTCCTCCGCCACTTCGGGAGAGCTTTCGACGACCTCCTCTTTGATTTCCTCAGCAGCTGTTTCCTTGACATCCTCTGGAGTAGCTTCCTCGGCAGCGATTTTTTCAGCTTCTTCCGACTGTCCAGACACCTCTGGTTGCTCAGGAGCAGGCTGTGCCTCAACTGGAATCACTTGGACTGGTATTTGGTAGTCCATGGGAAGGTGATTCAACTGCATAATATTAATGATGGGAGAATCCTTCATCATCACCGGTTTGTCCGACTTCTGAGTCTCTGATTCCTCAAGAATCTGCTCTTCGATCGAGGCATTCTTGTCCACAATCTCGGGCTCTGGCAACTTGGCCTCCTCGATGGACACATCTTCGGCGTTAGCGTCGACTGGTTGCACCTTTTCAGCCATGTCAGTCTCTGGTTTCTCTTCGTTCTTCCTCAGGGTGTTCAGAAAGTCGGTGATCAGCTGCTCGGCCTCAGCGGCCATGGCAGGATCCACAGGCTTGAAGCCTCCAAGCGACTCTTGGGTCTCTCCGCCCTCAGGGATCTTATCCAAATCGAGGACCTGCTCTACCAGAGGGCTGTGCTCCTCCATTCCAGGAGTGGCGGGCATACTTTCGGGCGCATCAGCGGGCTTGGCAGCCTCCAGGGATTCTATGTTGGATTCTTCGTTGGAGTTGCTGGTTTCCACGATGGCAGGATTGGCAGGAGTTTCCTGAGCTACAGGGACTGAGATTTCTTCAACTTTGGCTGGAACTTCTGGTTCTTCCTCGGGCTTAAGTTCCTCTTCTTGTTTAGTTTCTTCTTCGGGTTTGGCTTCTTCTACAGGCTTGATGTCTTCTTCGGGTTTTGTTTCTTCCTCTGGCTTGATTTCTTCCTCCTGCTTGACTTCCTCTTCAGGTTTGATTTCTTCCTCCTGCTTTGGTCCTTCCTCAGGCTTGATTTCTTCCTCAGACTTGATCTCTTCCTCGGGCTTAATCTCTTCCTCAGCCTTGATCTCTTCATCTGGCTTAATTTCATTTGCTGATTTGATGGCCTGCTCCCCCATCGGCTCCTTTTCGGTTTCCAGTGGCGTTTGTTGATCCAAAGATTCCACAATGACGGCAGGGATCTCCTCAATGGCTTCGATGGGCTTTATGTCATCAATTTTGGTGTCGATCTCGATCTTTGTGGGAGCTAGTTCCTCGGGAACAACTTCAGGCTGAACAAAGGACACCGCAGGCTCAGATGCCTGAACCTCCGGCTCTTGGACCTCCACGGGAATCACCACTGGTTCCGCGAACATGGTCTGGAGCTTGAGTGTGGGTTGGGGCTCACTAAGTTGCACCACAGCCTCGGTGACTGCTACAGGCTCAGAGTCCACAACTTCCTCTACGGGTTTGGGGGTGGTGGTTGGCTTGTTGAAGATGGCAGGACGTTTGCGGATTCCGTTGAAAAGCTCATTCCTCATTGGAGGAGCTGCTATAGCAGGCTTGGGCTTGTTATCCTTGTTGGGTCTGACGGTGAACCGTTGAGGCTTTACTGGCTTGGGCTCCACTTCAACAGGTGCCACAGGCTCTGGCTGCGATTCCACTTCCGGAGCGGCAGTCACTGCAACTTTTCGTTGAGGCTTCCTGCGCTGGGGCTTGGGCTTTTGCGTCTTCACTGGTTTCACAGGCTTGGCAGGCTCCACAGGAGCAGGGGCGGGCTCTTCCGGTTCCGCCTCTTCCGTTTCCTCCTTTTCTGGCTGCTCACTCTCAGCAGGAGTGGGCTTTTCCTCCTCCACAGCGCCACCGAAGTTGCCATTCAGTTCGTAGTACCGAGAGCTGTCGGAGCACTCGATGGTCATGTCCTCGCGACGCATGCAAGTGAAGGATTCCTATGGGGGGACTTGTTTTATTGAAATCCTAAGAGAGGACCTACTTTTCTGGACTCTCACCTGACTGAAAATGGTGTCCTCGGGGCAAATGAAGCTCCAGCGGAAGGTGTTCTCCCTGCCATCGGCATAGGTCACTGGGAGGCACACATGGAAGATCTGGCAATCGTTCTCCACATCCGCGTAGTAGCCATACGACTTGTTGGCACACGAAAAGTTGTCCGTGATGTCGGCCCTAATGGATGTGGCATTGCTGGGCAGGGTGAGGGTGCCCAGGGAAGCACTTTCCGCGGGAGCACTGGACTCCACCTCGGATTCCGTCTGTTCTGGCATTTCCACCTCAGCAGGCGTAGTAGGCTCGTCTCGTATCGCGGGGTGTTTTCTTTTCTGGAAAGTTATAAGGTAAAGGATTTTTCTCATATTTATTTGATGAATGACCAGGAATCTCCAGATCCATCTGGTTAAAAGCTTAACCCCCTGTAGTACTAGCAACTTCCAATGACCATTCAGCTAAGGAGGCTACGTGTCCGGAATGAATAATCCCACAAAATGCAGCACGTGACTCTCCAGCTAGGCACCCGAAAAATTTCACTTGCGTTCTAGTTTCGTCTACGCGGCGCGGCGGCAGGTGAAAATCAAAGATACTCCATACGAATCGACTCGAAATCCAAAATAAAAATCCAATCCCCCACCTGTGTGTGCACTTCGCACCTGTGACCGACCTTTTAAGGGCCGCAGTGCAATTGAAGTCACTTTCGAATGGAACGCTCAAATATTATCACATAATATTTTAGCCATATTTTTCGTATTTTGTATTTTAGGCGTAGCATTTCAATGAGTTGGAATGAAAGCTAACTAGTAAGACATTTCTTTCTCGAAAGGCTATCAATGAGTAATTGGATTTTTTATTGCAAATTTCAAATGATGGCTTAATAATTCTTGGAACAGTTTTTGGATTTTTTTTGCCAACTCCAATCTGGTAAATTCTTTACCGGCTTTTAGCCACCTGCAGCTACCTATAAAATACGTTTAGACCTTCGGTTCTCGAAGTTGGCCGTTAAAAAAGGCTAAACGCTTGGCATACCAAATAAGCCATCGGCGGACTGAAGTATGCAAATGCCGAGCCAGACTGACAGTGACTGAGTCCAGGCCCAGTGTCCCATTAAAACCTTCAACATATTCATTAACAGTTTCCCATTTCCGTTAAGGCGACGGAAATGGTTGGCTTGGTGGCCGCGCTGTCTGACTGTCTGGCTAATCCCAGAAGTGTAACTCACCTGGTGGCCAGAACTGAGGGGTCCTGCCTGGCAGGTTGCCGTCAAGAAAAGCACCACACACACGGTTCTCCACATTTTAGTCATCACTCTGATATTCTTTAGTTTTTATTCACTTTATATTGTAGGTTTTATTATTTATATCACACGGCTCGTGGCACTTGTCTGGAACACATTCGATAATCCGCTAAGAGTTTCTTTGAGAGATTTTCAGATTTAGTTCATTGGTTTTTGGGGGGTATTGTGTGTTTAATCCAATTCGTTATCCAGTTAGGGTTTTAAAGATATTTCAAGACCAAAGCTTGCACTCGCACTGCGTCTCCTGAGGCTCTTCGCACACCTGTGAGGCACCGTTGGCTGGGAAATACTAACTGCCACCGTTGAGGCGAAGCGCGCCCAATTTATATATTCTTCGCTTTGGATTTATTAAGAATGCAAAAAGGCAGAGAAACCGAAAGAAAGAGACACCCGATCAGAAGAAATGTGGCCACCACAATTACAATTACAAGGCATTACTTACTTGCCTCTTACCTGCAGACGTGACATTGCGTATACGCATGTGTGTACGGTGTGTTTGTGGTGTTGGAGTGTCTGAGTATCCGAGTTTGTTGGTGTGGGTGTTTAAGTTTGGCGCGCAGGCGCTTAAAGTGTGCCGCTTTGGGTGTGTGGACTCCATTGGCTGTGGATCCCAAGACTGCAGAGCGAAGAACAAGGAATGAAGATCGGAGAGTAAAAGATGGACCTCATCTTGGACCTCATCTTTCGTTGTTTAATTTTTAAAAATTGTTTAAAGCTTTAGTTTTTTATTTAATTATATTTTTAAATACATTATTTATTAGAAAGAAGTAAACAAAATAAATAGCTTTTCATAAAATATTAAATATTAAACTTTATGAAATAAATAAATAAGTAAACCCCTTTAGCGACTAATTAAACAAGTACGTTGTTTCTAAGAAAAAAGCAAAAATATATCCCTTGCATAGAAATAAATTTACAAGCTTAAAATACATGCTCAATATTAAAATATATACTATACACCCTAAAAATAAAAACCTAGAGCAAAAAAATCGTTTTTAAGATTCCAGAAACTACTAACCGAGACTTATCCTACCAATAACCAGACTCCTCATTATTATGCCAGAAGCCTTTAGTTTACTTACAAGATCAACAACCCTAGATAGACCAAAAAGGGAACAAAATAAGTCCAAAAGGGGCATTTGATCAACCGCAAGTGTATAAAATATATGACAACCAACTAGCGCCAGTTAATACATAATTAATCAGAAAGACAATATTTATTATTATGACTCGACGAGGGCTATTTCCGATGCCATTGGCCTCTACAGCTTTCGCTTTTTTATGTACGTGATTTTGATAGTCGAAGACCCTCAAAAGGGCGGAGTCAAAGTTAAGCACTAAACATGAAATTAGAAATTCATAATTGTCGCGTAATAAGGCACCAAAAAAAATTTAATAAAATAAAAACAAGAAAGGAAAGCTAACTTCGGGCGGAGCCGAAGTTTATATACCCTTGCAGTTAAAACCGGATATATATCGCAAACATCGGATATAGTTGGCCGATCCTTATGGGAATAGGAATATATAATCCAATTTATTTCAATACAAAATCTAAAAAAAGTCCCAAACTTCTATCTTCAAAAATACGAAAGTTGATATTTCTACCAAATACCATTTCCGATCGTTCAGTTATATGGCAGCTATGGGATATAGTCGGCCGATCCTAATGAAATTTGGTAGGTTGGATCAACTGGCCAAAAATATAATCTGTATTCAGTTTTAGCTTTCTATCTTCAAAAACACGAAAGTTGGGTCATTTCCGATCGTTCAGTTATATGGCAGCTATAGGATATAGTCGGCCGATCCTTATGAAATTTGGCATGACGTAATGCTTTGCCAAAAATAGCTCACATGTCAGATTTGAACTCTCTAACTCTAAAAACACCAAAGTTATACCATTTCCGATCAATCAGTTATATGGCAGCTATAGGATATAGTCGGCCGATCCGGGCCGTTCCGACTTATATACTGCGTGCAAAGGAACGAAGGGTGTGTGCAAAGTTTCAAGACGATAGCTTTAAAACTGAGAGACTAGTTCGCGTAGAAACAGACAGACAGACGGACAGACAGACGGACAGACAGACGGACAGACGGACAGACGGACAGACGGACATGCTCATATCAACTCAGGAGGTGATCCTGATCAAGAATATATATACTTTATAGGGTCGGAGATGTCTCCTTCACTGCGTTGCACACTTTTGACCAAAATTATAATACCCTCTGCAAGGGTATAATAAGAAATACGTGGACATTGGCTCGTTCGAATGCGAAATGGTAGCACACCATTCTAAATTGCTAATGCGCCCTAATAGGCTTCGCTTGTTTGGGGGAGTTTCGAATGGGTTTTATTATACCCTTGCAGAGGGTATTATAATTTTGGTCAAAAGTGTGCAACGCAGTGAAGGAGACATCTCCGACCCTATAAAGTATATATATTCTTGATCAGGATCACCTCCTGAGTTGATATGAGCATGTCCGTCTGTCCGTCTGTCCGTCTGTCTGTCCGTCTGTCTGTTTCTACGCGAACTAGTCTCTCAGTTTTAAAGCTATCGTCTTGAAACTTTGCACACACCCTTCTTTCCTTTGCACGCAGTATATAAGTCGGAACGGCCCGGATCGGCCGACTATATCCTATAGCTGCCATATAACTGATTGATCGGAAATGGTATAACTTTGGTGTTTTTAGAGTTAGAGAGTTCAAATTTGACGTGTGAGCTGTTTTTGGCAAAACATTACGTCATGCCAAATTTCATAAGGATCGGCCGACTATATCCTATAGCTGCCATATAACTGAACGATCGGAAATGACCCAACTTTCGTGTTTTTGAAGATAGAAAGCTGGAACTTAGTACAAATTTAATTCTTGGTCAGTTGATCCAACCTACCAAATTTCATTAGGATCGGCCGACTATATCCCATAGCTGCCATATAACTGAACGATCGGAAATGGTATTTGGTAGAAATATCAACTTTCGTATTTTTGAAGATAGAAGTTTGGGACTTTTTTTAGATTTTGTATTGTAATAAATTGGATTATATATTCCTATTCCCATAAGGATCGGCCAACTATATCCGATGTTTGCGATATATATCCGGTTTTAACTGCAAGGGTATATAAACTTCGGCTCCGCCCGAAGTTAGCTTTCCTTTCTTGTTTTTCTTTATTATTACTTTTTGGTCTGTGTGAAAGTCACTGCATGATGATATTTCGATTGTTGCATAATCCTTCTACCCTCTTCTCGCCCCAGGCCCGAGCCATTGAACCCTAACGAATTTTCTGGCACTGGTTTTTGGTTTCTGGCTTAAAAAAATAAAAATTATTTTAACTCTAGATCGTATGTTGCCATAAAATTGCAATCTCACGTCTGCGTTGAGGCAATCTTTCGAGTGTAATCTGCTTCTCTGCGAAGGTGTAGACTCATGTCTTTGTCACCCATCTGCCATTGTTGGGGCATGCTAATGGATAAACAATTTCTTGGTAACAAAAACCTTGTCAGCCAGGTTAACAAAGTTCTTGCGAACTTCTCTAATGCTCAAATAGGAGCTATAGAAAGCGGGATTCCTAAATGAAAGATTAATAAATAAGAATCATAAAATAATGCTACATTGTCTGGTTTCTTATTTTATTAGTTAGTAAGTGTAAGTGCTACTTCTGACTACCATATAAATGGCCAAGAAACACCTTTTCAATAAATTATTTGAATAAACACCTACTGCTACTACCAAGGCATATATTGTAGTCATTATCATTAGCATGCCTGCATGCATTTTCGAGCACTTGGCAACTAAAATGAAATGCATTTTGCATGAAATGTTTGCCAGAAAAAAAGGGCAAGTCCAACAAAAAAAAGCACATGCCAATAATCAAGTAGAGATAAACCTGGTCGACAACGTGTTGAGGTTCTCCAGACACAACTGGGCAAAAAGCAGAATCATGACTGGAATTATGAAAAATTAAATTATTAATAGAATGCAGTGTTAAGGGGAGGATACCTTGTTAAATAAAGAAATGCATGAAGCGGCGAAAATACTTCTGTTTGGAACTTTTTCTTTTTTTGGACTTTTGGATTTTCTGACTTGATTATAATGCAGCGAAAAAACACATGTAACTTTCTAAAATGCAAATAGCACTGCAATGGAAAATCATGAGCGCTTTTCAGTTTCAAAAACGACAAAATGAAGAAAATAAATTAAATTAAATTCGACTGGACACACGTGGGCGTTGGAATTGAAATCGTTCCCTTCATTTTTTTTCGCTGCCATTGCACTGCCACTGATCAGAGTCGCGTGCACGGTGCGTATACGTGATGGGCGATGCAAGTCCACTTTCTAGCGGCAGTTAAATTAATTAAGTTTTCGTTAAGCACACACATTTGTGTGGCACGAACGGCAGCACTCGAATGCCTTAATCATCAAATGCCCGAGTTGACAGTTCAACTGACATCGGCACGTCGCCGCCTGTCACTTAGTAGAGCAAATGCCTAGAAATTTTGCTAAGAAACCAAAGTGTAGGTGTATGGCCTCCACCCACGCGTGATGCCAACACTTCCTTTTGCCAAAAAAAAAAACAAAAAAAAAACCAAAATCCATTGATACTATTTATGATTTTTTCGCAAACATTGCACGTTGTATACCGTTAAGCGGGAATCCTCATTGAGCAAACACTGCTGCCACTGCTGAAGAATTTCAATTGATTGTTTTATTGATTCTTATTTTTATTATTTTTGCAAAAAACATTGAGAACAGATCGTATCTGTATGATTTATGGCCAAGAGCCACACCCCCACGTCATCCAGATCGACACCACCGCCCACTTTTAGCTCAAAGTACAGTCCAAAAATACACAGAAAATAAATGTTTAAGGTATTAGCTTTAAACGGTGATTTTGAAAGTAATCTTATCTCAAGATTTCTATACAATTCTGCTTAAAAACAAATCAAATATTTTATTTTATCATAAAATGTATTAATATTTTTCGCCGTGCATTATACTGTTTAGAAAGTGCTGAAAACTAAACTATTTCTGTATCTATTACCATCAATTATGTGGCACACGTTTCCAAGACACCTTCAACTCGATCTGGAGCCTAGACTCTGATCCCGACTCTGCCTCTGGGCTCCCACGCATTGGGCCAAGTCAATTGAATTTTTATGGCCAATTTCATTGATTTTAATTTTGCTAATGATAAGCATTTCTTTGCACGAATCTTCTGGCCACAAACCGGCGATGGCCAGGTCTTGATAACGAGCGTGTTGCGGCATGTCAATTCGCTTTTCTTAACGCTGCCCCACGTTGCATGTTAATTGCCCTGCCCTAGGGCCTAGTGCCTGCTACCATGCTTTTCCTTCTCAATTAGCCCTCTCCTTTCGATTTAAACAAGGTCAATATCAAAATGTGGCAGCCAAACGTGTCAGAATGCGGCGTGTGCATCTGTTTACTGGTAATTTGGAAAATTTAAGCCAACACTTTTGTATTTTAAGATTGCAGCAGTTGTTTGACTTTCTTTTTTTTTACGTCCGATTCACTCCAAAATTTTCCACAATCCCCATTTTAAATTTATTTGCCATAAATTCATTTTTCGATTTGTCAGACGTTTGTCCAACACCAAATTTAATTGTTTATTACAACGAACGACGTCAAACTTTTGGCAATTTTTGTTTAGCATTCCGCGGGCGATCTGCGCATGCGCAAATTGCTCGTTGACACCCAAAAACAAAAAAGCGGATAAAAAAATGAATGAGTCCCCGAGACGCGTCTATTTTGGGCGCGCGACGACACTATTTTGTATTACAGGGCAGTCTCTGACTCCAGAATTAGGTCACGGAATTAGAATCAGAAGCACGCCACGGAGCAGGTGAAACTTCCCTCGGAATTTCAGACAAAGTTGACCGCATTCTGATTGGGCAACCTAAATGAAAAGGTTTCGTTCCTTTTTGAAAATATTAATCGTCAATTTTTAAGGTTTTGATTAAGTTTGCAATCTGCCTACAAATTGTTGGATATACTCCGCTTAGGAATGGGAGGCAAATGGACGAAGATATAACCATCGCTGCGGGCCATATTGTTCTCTATTGTATTCATTAGCATTTTTAAAAGGTCACATCATAAAAATTTGGATAAAAATATCATACATTTATTTTGTTCACAGGTTTTGATGAAGAATGGTGGAGAATCCATCTAGAAATCGTTTGAGGTATGCCTTGCAAGGATCGGGTGAGAATTGGCAAAGATATGGTCATGAATTGGGCGGTTTATGGAAATCCTGGATTTCACAAGGGGGTCCAGGTTTTGATGCAGAATGGTGGAGAATCCATCTAGGAATCGTTTAAGGAATTCCTTGCAAGGATCGGGTGAGAATTGGCAAAGATATGGTCATGAATTGGGCGGTTTATGGAAATCCTGGATTTCACAAGGAGGTCCATCACAAAAATTCAAAAAATATGGATCGAAAATTTTGTTCTCAGGTTTTGATGCAAAATGGTGGAGATTCCATCTAGGAATCGTTTAAGGTATTCCTTGCAAGGATCGGGTGAGAATTGGTAAAGATATGGTCACTGTTTGGGCCATTTATGGAAATCCTGGATTTCACAAGGGGGTCCACCACAATAATTCGAAAAATATGGATCGAAAATTATGTTCATAGGTTTTGATGCAGAAGGTGGAGAATCCATCAAGGAATCGTTTAAGGTATTCCTTGCAAGGATCGGGTGAGAATTGGTAAAGATATGGTCACTGTTTGGGCCATTTATGGAAATCCTGGGTTTCACAAGGGGGCCCACCACAAAAATTCGAAAAATATGGATCAAAAATTTGTATCACAGGTTTTGGTGCAGATTGATGGAGAATCCTTCTAGGAATCGTTTAAGATATTCCTTGCAAGGATCGGGTGAGAATTGGTAAAGATATGGTCACTGTTTGGGGCATTTATGGAAATCCTGAATTTCACAAGGGGGTCCACCACAAAAATTCGAAAAATATGAATCGAAAAATTTGTTCACAGGTTATGATGCAGAATGGTGGGGAATCCATCTAGGAATCGTTTAAGGTATTCCTTGCAAGGATCGGGTGAGAATTGGCAAAGATATAAATTATATGCATAGAATTGGCGAAGATATATGTTCTGTTGGCCTTCTATGACCTCACGATCTTAACATCTCAGTTATTGGATTTAACAAGAAATTCAAATTGTATCGAAATTATTTTCTTTTAATAAGCATCATATAACATACGAATACAATAAATAATTTGCATAAATAACTTACAACTAGTTTGTTTTCATTGCTCCGAATGTAACCAAAACAGGTTTTCGACTTCTCCTTATTAATGGTACAATTTGTAATGATTAATTTGTTTTTATAATTAAGGCATTGCACTAAACGGGCTAAGGGTTACAACTAAAATTTGTTTACTGGCATTTCTCATTGTGCTAAAATTAATTTTGTCTCTAGGATCTTAGGGATTATTTAATAATCAGCAATACGTATTGTTACGAAATAAATAAAATACAATAAATGAGGCTCTGGGTAGGATCTGTCTCCGTCGAAGGAGGAGGACAGGGCTCAGGTGGTGGATGGGAGTGTGGTCAATGGATGATGTCCTATTGCCACTGGTACTGATTGCGATACGCCAGATAGTGGGGGTCCTGGGCTGTCTGCGGCTGGGGACGCACCTGGTAGCTGTCCGTGGAGGAGTCGACATCCTCGACAGATGGATCCGTTTGGAGGGAGCGCTTCCAGTAGCTGCCCTGCTCGCTCCAGTCGTCGCCATGGTCCTCGTAGTGGTGCTGATGGTGGGCATGTTCAACGTATACAACCTAGTTAGAAAATATGCAAAACGTGTGCCGTGAAGTGAGAAACACCAGAGGAAGTACCAAAGAGGCCCAAGAGTGTGAGTGGTATCTGTATCTGTAGCTTTCAAATTTGTTATCTGTATCTGTATCTGTTTCTGTGTCTGTTTGTGTCTGATAGGACTTTGTAGTCCTTTCGTTGAGTAGAAACTTCAGACTCCGACTGTTCGTAATACTCGTACTTACACAGTGTGAGGGCTAGGTTTTTTTTTTTTCAAAATAAACTCATTCTATTTTTGATTTTGATTTTTGTTTTGGGTCTTATAGTGTATACTGATATTAGTGAACACATTGATTTGTTTATTTGTTTTTTTTTTTTTAATTAGAGCTGTACGTTCCGAAAACGTTTTGTGAGCTGTCCAAAAATTTTACCATATCTGAAACCAAAGAGGTCTTGAATTTGTTAGCATACGGCAAGTTTTGGATACGTTAGGTGGAAGATGGTAACTTGTGTGTGTTCGTATTGGAACTCTGGTGGTTGAAGTTTTGGAGCTGGAAACCGAAAGCTGGTCCCAATAACAGTTAGAAGAGTTATAGCGCACGGACCGGGTGGGTATTTTTTCCACGTGTAGTTTGCCAGGTAACGCATTTTACAAAACCTTTTTTTTATTTACAGCTTGTGTGAGAGAAAGAGATAGCTTGGGAAAAGAGCAAGGGAAGGAGAATATAGATTTTGAAGAAAAACTTTACAAGAAATCACATCGATTTTTAAAAAATATTTTTTAACTGTGGACAAAAATTAGAAATTGAATACCCATATTTTCTGCTTTTTTGAACAAACCTTGGCCAATTGGAAACTGTTGTTGTTGTTGTTGTTTTTGGACTTATGACTAGTGTAAGAGGACTTTGTTTTTGTAATTTTCAAAACTGAAAATGTGCAGAAAATCGATTAAGAACAGTATAAACTTTGGTCTAGCAACCAGAACAAGAACTTGTTCGTGTGTTTCGGTACAAATCAGGTTAAAAAAACGCCAGTTAACAGTTAAACTCACAGGTGCGGTTTCGTTTTTTTCATTTGGGAGGGCGGGACGATCTTAACTCACCTTGGACGGCGGACTACCGCGCTTCACATCGATCCAGAATCGGGCAATATTTATGAGAAGCCCTATAAGAGCTATGGCAAAGAATTTCACCTGCAGGTGAGCTCCCAAAATCTTCAACAGCAACTCGATCTTGGCCTTCAGGATGCTGCCAATCAGCATGATTTTGGCCAAGGCCTTCTTCTTCTTCTTCTTCTTGCCGCGGGTCACTAGATATTGGTTAAAGAATAAAGGATCACATGGAATTAGTTTTGATGGGCTCTTGACTGGATGTACACTTACTGGGCTAAAAATCGAAACATTGAACGTAAATATTAAATATTTTATCGCTTGGGAGGGTGGTGTTTGTTAGTATGAACTGCAGTGCGCGTCAAGTGCGTTAACGGTAACAAAACGGCATTCAAAAAGCAAACAAAAGCAGGCAATAAACATAAAACATATCATACATAACCTTAAAGACATTGGAAGTAGTTTTCATTAAGAAAATCGTACCAATAACTTTTAAATACATGCAGGCGCTTTAGATGGGCAGTATCCTAAACTTATTTCAGTTAAATTCATAATTTTAAATCAAATATAAAATTAAGTTTGAATTCAAATTCAAATTGTATGCATAACAAAAGCTAAGAGCTGTGGCACTCGCTGCCTGCTCAACTGCTTGCACTGCTTTAAGCAGTCAAGCGCCATCTACATGTAGAAAGCGCCGCTTTTAAAATAATAGTTTCCCATTTTTAAGATTTTAAGCCTAAAATAACTGAAATAAAGGACAACCACAACCATATATACATCTAAAAAATATTACTACAGAGGTTTTTTTTAGGAGAAATAATAAAAACCTCTGAAGTCTTGTACTTAAACAATAGATATAGGCACAGAGTTGTGCTCGGAAAACGGTGCGTTAAAGTCATGAAAAACCACACGCAGCAAACAACACACACCTCCGTTACTTCTACCATAATTAATTGGATTCCTGTGCTTTCGCTTTCCTCCGCCGCTGGACAGCAGATCGTCCGCATCGGCCAGGTCGTCCAGCAGACCCAATCCCAGGCTCAGGTCGCTCTGTTCATGCTCCACACCACCGGATCCGTGCTGACCCTTCCGTTTCCGCATCCCCTTCATTTGCTTCCGTTTCTGCTTGCGCTGTTTCCGCAGCTTCTTCTTCTGCTTCAGGGGTCCTGTACTGGACACCACAGAGTCCTCGGATCCTGCTCCGCCATGACTGATCACTGCCGGTTCGCTTTCATGGCCGAAGTCCGCTTCATGGTGCTCTGGAGCGGCCTGGACGACCACCAGAGTGGCTGGCTGGGTTTCATGGCCCTGACCCTTCTTGTTCTTCTTCCGCTTCTTGTTGCCCTTCTTGTTCTTCTTGCGCTTGCCACCACCGGGTTTCTTCAGTGCACCCGCAGCATCTTGATCCGTATCTTGTAGTTCTATGAATTCTACACCTAAAGATAGATTTTCCAAAATATATGTATATTAAAAAAAAAGAAGTTTTAAGTATAGTTTTCAATGCTAACCTGTACTATCTTCGCCGATAATGGTATTCTTGCCATCATTTTCACTTTGGATAGCCGGTTGACCGCTAAACACACTTGGCGTGTTTCCATTTTCACTTTCCGGCTGAGCATTGGAGGCCGCCTCCTCCACCTCCTCATCTTCGGCATCAGTTTCAGTGTCAGTGTCAGCCTCAGCCTCGGGCTCATGTTCCCCCGTGCTATCCGAGGCTTCATCGTCGTCTTCCTCATCCTCATCGTTGTCCTCATCCTCGGCATCCTCCCCAGCAGCATCCTCATCATCGGCAGCCTCCTCGGCGGCATCACTGGTATCGGCATCCGTAGCATCCGCTTCTTCATCATCATCATCATCGTCGTCGTCTTCGGCGGTTTCACTCTCATCCTCAGCTGCCTTCGGTGTCTGCAGATACTCGTATTCGCGGCCTAGGAAGCTGGTTTTCCACAAAATAAAAAAAAAAAACAGGAAGAAGTGTTAAATGTGGCGAAAATTCAACATCGGATTCAACTTGTTTTCTTGTACTTACCCATCCATTGATTCGGCCAGGTATTTCTTCATATATTTCGTGCCGATTTCGATTTTCTTCAATAGAGACGATGGCTTCTCTTTCACGGGCAGCTCCGAAGCACTATATCCCCTCCGTTCGATCGTTGCATTCATCTGCCGATCGGCCTCAACTGTTAAAGAAAATATAAAAAAAAAAACGTTACAGGAAAATCACCAAAAGTTTTCGATTTTAATTGCTTTTCCATGTAAATGCCTAGCACGTTTGGCTTTTCTTTTGGGGGAGTTGCGTGTAAAATTCTCCAACGTCCGATCTGCAGGTTTTTTTTTTATCAAATTTAATGATCACCCAAGTATTCAATGAAATTGGCCAGCTTCTCACCCTCAAATAACTGCTTGAACTTGGCCTAAAGGTTAGTGAAAATATGTATACGAAGGTTTGCTTTTCACAAGCAATTTTATTTTTCCCACATTTGTGCGAAAAGCTTTGTATCTAATTATTGGCTTTGGGCGACAATTTCGTATGAGAGTTGAAAAGGTGATTAAGGTTTAATGAACTTACCCTTTAGTTTCTGCCACTGAACATTGAGCTCTCCATCCCAGACATCCAGTATCCTGCCGGACTGTTGGCGGGCACACGTCCAAGGTTCGGCTCTAATTGGGCACAAGGCCAGGTCCAGATAAGGTGAGACTTCTGCAACAAAAACCAAAAGCCAAAAGATCTGTGTAAATATGAGGCTCGAAACTGGTCAAATATTTAATGAAAAACGGATGGCGATTGACAGCTTGACTGACTTTCGACTGGCCATTTCTTGGCCGTCTCAGTTGGGGATTTGTGGTCTGGTCTGATTTGGCTAGCACTGTTAACATGGTCATGATTTCAGCTTATGGTTTTGGCTTTAACTTGGCTCTAACTTCGCTTTGAGTTTGGCCATTTCCACGGGCACTGCAAATATTTGAGTGAAAGTATGTGTGCGCGCAATCATATCAACACCTTGTGTGGTTTGCTGTCCCACTGCAACAGGTCGGTGGTGCTAACAAGGCTGTAACTGCACCACAGCACCACAGCAGCACCACTGATATGTTGGATATTCTCCTCGCTTTTCTTGTCGGTGGCGCGAGCCATGTTTTATTTAACATTTATTTATAAACTGTCATCAATCAGCGATGGAGTGAAAATGCTTTGTGATTGGCATCGATTAAAATTATGGCTGGCCGTCCAACTTAATTGCTACTTAATGTGAGTACATTTCATTTGGAATAATTCAATTTGTTTACCTGCCAAGATCCTCCTCATATTTGTGTATAACCAAACATGCAACATTTTTCCGTGAGGCATAATTTGTCTTTATTTGATTTTCCTCTCACTAATTCCACACTATTTCCTAACAAATTGAGCAATTATTTTCACTTTAATTCACCAAAGAATCACCTCCATTGTGTCTTTGATTGCCTCCAGTGCCTGGGAGTCCTCGGCTACAAGTCGTGATAAGTGAAAATTTAATGTCAGTTCGTGTAGGTTTTTCATGTCGCTAGTTGTCTCGTTGTCACAATTTATTTGGCTCATTTCGCTTTCAATGGGGCACAGCGCGACTTGACGGTTCGGCGTACTTTGACCCATAGTCTTTGCTAATATTTTCCCAAATTCAATGCCAGGTGAAAGCCAGAGGATGGCAGCCTGTGAAAAATTGTTTACCTGCAACTCGTGGTGACATCCAACAGATAACATCCTGCTGAATTCAAGCCCACGCCACCAAAAACAGCCGAAAAACATCGAAGAAAACCTGCGACAAGAATGCGCCCCAAAGGGAGTTTAAGGAGTGTCCGGGGAGAAGTTCAAAGAAAGCCAATTCGTGATGCACTTCCCAAAAAATTAGGGTATAAGTATCCATCAGATAAGTATCTAAAATAAGTATTTAAGGCAATAAGAGCCTCATTTTCCTCCATTTCTCTTAGTGTACTGATTCCCAGGAAAGCATCTTCGATATCCGTCTATTGCATTTCATGGGTGTCTCGCTTGGCCGAAACCAAAATGTGGCACATTACTCGCAGCTGCCGGGAGAAGCTAGTTGGTAGCCAACATTCTGGCCAAAGTTGGTTGCCTTTTGCCATTTGGTGTCCGTTTTGCCGTTGGTCTTTTCACTTTTCTTAGCCATTTCCCCGCTTTTTTCTTGAATTTCCTCGGCAGGGCGTCGCATGGAAATGCAAATGCCACCAACCAAGACCAAGACTTAATCGAGACCCGGCTAATTCCCAATACCAAATGAACTTTCACTGCAATTGAAGTTTATGCGTGGCTTACTTATAGTTATAAATAAATAGTTACAAGGTTTGCTGGAAGGTTTGATGATGGGTGACGCATTTGCCTGTCCACTTGTGGGCCAAAAGAAATATGGTTAGCTTTTTCTTAGCTGGAAACTGTAAACTGTTAACTGCTAACTGCTGGACTGGACTGGTAAGCATGTAGGCTAACTATCCGGCAAGCGGCTCATTTGCCTTCGCCTGAGGTCCGGCCATAACAGTAGCTCGTAAAATATTAGCATAATCACTGGAAATTCTCAGGTATGTGGCTATGCCTTTCGGGCCGCAAGATTGAGTTGTAAACATGAAAGTGAATCGATCCGATATGGGGTATTGGAAACGATTCAAAATATCAGCAATTACTAACTTGTGGGCGCAGACCAATTGACCTGGTAAGCACAAAATGAGGTAATAAATAGCAATAAACGGTAACAACAATTAACGAGGCTTACAAGTCTACAAAAAAAAGAGTCTGACAGACTCGTCAAATTAAATAGAATGATCCAGTGAAGTCAGCATTCCAAATACTTCCCACTTACAATAGAATTTTATGGCCATTATAGAAATCGGTCGGAACAGAGTCTGGGACTCGGAACCGTTAGCGTGCAAGCCAGTCGACATGTGAGCTCCGCTGAGCTTGAAACTTTAATAAACTTTCACTGGCTTCGATCTGACGCAGAATTTGAATTGAAGACACCAGAAAGCCAGAAAGCCGCCAACGACGACGTCGGACACAGAGACGAAGACAGTCAACCGCAAGCCAAGTAAATACAAGCTGAAAATCCAAAACAAAACATGGCCAGCAGCTACTAGCCACAACAGCTCTAACAACTCCAACAACTCTCAGCAGCCGCTCATGTCGTATATTGATTAGAGCTCCACTTTGGCTACGCAAATCGATGGCTTGAAACTGAAACTGAAATTTTAGATTCCGCCAATGACCGCCAACACATTAAGGAAAATGTTTCTACAATTCAAGAGTTTCTCCCGGAAATAGTAATACTAAAAAGTGAATTAAATACTTGTTATGTTTGGTGATAAGAGTTAAGAGTTTTGTTATTGAAATGGTGAAACATCGATAAGACATGAAAGGAAAGTATTTTTGAGAAAGTCTTCAGAATTAAACTAAACAGAGATTTCTCTGAAAATACATATATTTTTTAAATTAAATAAAGCTAAGATAATGTTTAACAATGAAGTTGGTTTCGATAATTTTTCAACAAAGTATCTTCTTTAGTTTGGTTTTTAGAATACTTATGGTTGGCCCTAAAATTATTATACTTAAAGGTCTCTTTTCCTTTAAAAATGTATGTTAAATACTTATATATATTTTTAAACAAAAATCAAAAACATTGTTTCTTTCAATCAAAACCTGACAACTGACAAAAACGCAGTTACAGCTTCATGTGACAGCTCTGGTTTTGACCATCTTTTTTTAGCCGCATTGTTGACAAACTGGGCAAAATGCCTACACCGGCTTAACTCGGCAATTAAAAAATGAAATTGTATTTCATTCCAGCAAAGAGCAGCACTTTTCATTTTTTTGCGCTTCGACCAAAAATGTCACCAATGCGACGACGCTCCGTTTTGGATTTCGAATCAGACTTGGAGACTTGGAGTTGGACTCAGACTTGGACTTGGGACATCGTGGGCAGTCCAAAGTGATTTCCAGTGGCATTGTTTTGCCATTTGCCAGACCCAGACCCGTCCATCCAGACCGGACACCGAAGACCAGAGCATATTTAAATACATATAGTAAGTGACTCGTCTCGCCTCGGACACTCTCTCACATACAAATATGACGGTTATAACCCAATTACGAGCATTTTTCAAGTTTTTTCTGTTGTTTTCTGTTTTCTTGGTTTACCTCGGTTTTGGTGTCGGAGCAATTTGTAGCAAGACTCCCCGAATGGAGACTCCCCGACCCAAACGAAGTGGCAAGTATAGTGTGTACCTCCACCTGTTTGAGCTCCCTTTTGGTGGCTTGGGTTTAAGCCAAAAAGTTGGTGTAGTCACCAAACTGAATCCGAATCCAAATCCGACACTATCATAACTGAGACATCAACTTGTTTGTTTTGCCGTTGTTATTGTTACCCTTTTTTTGTTTTCTGTGTACGGGTGTTGCTCTTTTTGGCTAAAGGAAGGCCTAATGAATCATTTGTGGCTTTTGGTTTTTCAACTGACACTTTGATGGCTTGGGCGGGACTATGGTTTTTGACTTGAAATATTGTCAGTTTGTAGTTTGAGGTTTGTAAGAGGATAGTAAGAGTCTGCTAACTAAGCTTAATGAGTTTAAAATTAACTAGGATCAAGGTAGTTTTAGAAAAATGTATAATTTGAAGCCACGAAATAATTATTTATTAATTTATTTCATATGTAGTTCCCCTTTTTGAACTTCATGACTTGGCAAATAGCTAACCAACTATCTCCTTAATACCTATACCTCAAGTCAGAAAAACTTATAAGATATTACCCCCCACCATTAGACCCTATCCCTCAAAAATTACCATTTTTCTTAACCCTCACTTTCAGTGTATATGGTATTCGTTTAATCAGCAATCAAAACTCGGAATCATGTTTCCCTGCCAGTTCTTTAATGACTCGACATTCAGTAGTGGGATTGCTACTAACTACAACTATTACCAAAGCCAAGAGACCCCAGCTCCCTGAAGTGCCTACACTTGCTAGCGCGTTGGCCGCCTTAGTTCTGGTTTAGTTGGTTATGACCCATATTACATGCTCAGTGCCCTAAACGATAACGAGGTGTATTTCTTTCTGGTATTTCATTCTGTTTTATTCTTGCACTTGTTGTCTTTTCGTTTGCTAATTGTTCGCCATGCACTTCAATAAATGAACAAGAAATAGGTAAGAAAAACCAACAATTGTGGCCAAGATAGAAAAAGTGTCATACGCTCCATAACGTAACAAGCACCGAAATGAGAATCATCTGCCATGGAGGCCACTTCGTTATGCTGCATTTCCCATAAAAGCCTGAAAATGAATGAAGCCACTGAAAGAAATAGTACTCATTTCCTCAGCCTTCAGCTTTTTTATCTTCAAACCCAAAGTTTGGTTGAAAAAATGTCCAATCTCTTGCCACTTGAAGAGGCCCATAAATCTTTGCGTTTGATTCTTTTTGCCGCAATTGCTGGCCGACACTTTCGTTTGGCGGCTGATTATATAATTGCCGAAGACAGAAGACAGAAATTGCCACTCTCACATTTAACTTAATGAACAGAAATTTCACTGCAATAAAAGTATTTTATTTGAAGCCTTTTGTTTTTGTTTTTGTTTGTATTTTTTCCTTTGTCTGAGCCATGCTCGTTACATTGCCAAGAAAATAAAATAAATAAAGCGCGGAGAAGCGAAAAAAAATAAAAGACACCTCTCAGACAGAGAGATATATAACATATATATGTATATAATTTTGGGGGCCAAAAAGAGTGACCGGCTGAGAGATCTCTTACCGTTTAATTGTCGGCCAACAGGTGTAGATGCTGAGTCGCGAACTGGCAAACTCCAGGCATCCGTCAGATACATTTCAGATGGCAGGATTAGACAGATCAGCAGCACGAGGCCTGCTATAATGGAAGGCTGCCAGTCCATGGTGATTACTCCTCTCCGTTGGTAAATATTTATATATATATGTGTAGTTTTTGATATATATACTTGGCACACACCGTTAGTCGAAATCAAGAAGTCTCTAAGAAACAAAAGTCAACTCTCACAATTGATTTATGTACACTTATCGCCACGCACGACAACAACGGCGCTTTGTTCCATTTTTTATTAAGAATTCTTTTCACTCTTGAATCGAAAAACCCCGAATCGAAACACCGATCGTATCTGTCGGATGCACTGCCACCTGTATAGTATGTCTATCTATTATCTATGTTGTGCTGCCACTTCGATCTGCTCGCGACCAAGTTCAAGGTAAGATTAAGCCATGACGCGCATACGTAAGAAGTTTTATACCAAAAACGCTCCCCGATCGACGGGCGGCTGGCGGCTTGGGGCTGGCGCTTTTGGTTTAAGAGAGTCTGACAATGTGAAAGCGCTCCGAGTTGGCTCTTTGGAAAGTTGGTAGTTGGCTATGATAACTTGGCTAGCCATGTAGCTGGAACTGGTCAAAAGAGAGCCAAACCAGGGACCAGGGACCACAGCCAGAGCCAAAGACTGGCTATTGACTTGGCCCGGTGCTGGATTTTCGCAAATGTATGGCATGCACTGAACAAACGGATCAATTAAGCCGTCCGCTATGCGCATTTCCAGTGTCACACTATATGCGATCGAAAGAATTTGCCATTGCCAGGGGTTAGGGCCACACTAAAGCCATTGAACTTCGACCCGACCTTCACAGGGACAGGCTGCTTTACATGTCTTCGGGGGGCTCTCTGAAAACAAAAGGTTTTCTTTTATTGGATTTGGATTTACCATAAAAGCAAAGAATGGATTTTTAATTTGGCTTTTGTCTTTTTTTTTATTACTTATTTAATTCCAAAGTTAGCCTACTTTAGCACAATTAAAATAATATAGAAACCAGAAAAGTTTTCACACCAAATTAGGTTATTAGGAGGAGGGTTTTAATTAATTAAAGTTAGAGTTATGCAAAGGGGGTTTCTTGAATCTAAAAGAATAGTTAACTTAATACTACCATCACTTTTATTTCACCTCAAAAATCCACATCAATCAGCAATGTATGCCATGAATTTCAACCCAAAAGTTCAACTCTTCCTTCAAACACATGATCTTCTGGATATTCGTATCTTTGGAAAGTCGCTCGTGAGATGCTAATCCTGTAAAGAAATGCAAATCCTGGTTGGGGTGCAAAAGGTGTCTATTCAATGGAAAACAGTGGCCTCCCAACAGTGCAGCAATTTCCACCCACTTGAGAGTTAAACTGACTTTTAAATCAGTTTAACCAAAAAAGTCTTTCTTTTCCTTTCGAAATATCTATTAGCACTTCCAGCCTCTATTGCATCAGATTTATTTGTTAAACTAATTAACATTAAGGCCAACTCAAAACAGTTGCATCATTGATAGATTCTGGCAGGTTTGAGGCACAATTTTCACCAAATATTGGACATAAAAAAAATGAAAGTTTTCTACTTGTTTACTTAAGTCCAGCCCATAATTGACAGACACTAGCAAATCACAAGCTAATGCTATTTATGTGTAAGGGTAGGGCCTACATTCAAGGCGCCATCACCTCAGCTGTCCCTCGTAAACTGAAAAGAAAGTTTGCACAAAATATTGATACTTTTCAATTGAAGTTTGGAATGAGGTGTGACCGAATCGGGTCTTCCGACTTGGTCAACGCCCCCGACACTGCCCGAATTTTGATTAGGCTCTGTCGCATTACGAAATTATCCATTGTGAGCGTCGAATTAGCGAAGAATTCGTGATGACGACTGCTGCCGACAAAATCGTATATCAATTTCACTTTCTTCGAGACAGTTGACATGCAATTAAGGAGACATAGGGCTGCCAAAGATGTCGCCAAGGTAGCCACTGTTTGGTAGCCAGTATCAGGCATGAGGAGCTGGCAGTAGGGGGACAGGTTCCCAGGCCATGTCCAATTATCATGTTAGAAAGAGAGTGAGAGCAGCCAGATTCGCTGACAGCATGTCTGCAGCCCCCAACTCCGGTTGCACAAAAAGAAATTAAATGCTACACTTTACTCTTGTTATCTTAAGCTTTGAGTTTAGTTTTCCAAGAAGTCTTATGCTTGGTGTATAAATTATAAATAAAGATTTCAAGGTCTTAAAAGGCCTTTCAAAAAACCTTATGAATTATAGAGATTTTGAACCAAAACTAACAAAAAGTTCCCTTTAATTTCATCCTAGTTATGCATTTAAAAGATTTTTAAAATCCTTATTAATTAAAAATAATTTTCAGAAAGTAAGCAAAATATTCAGAAAGTTGACATTTTCCTTCGGTGCAGTTGGTCTTACCAGCTCGTTGTTGGCCCAGTGTCTCCTGGCCTGTCAGTTAGACGCAATTATCCACATTTTATATATATGCGGGGAGACAAAGATGCTGGCCAGCTCCATTGCATCTGTCGATGCACATGATTTGTCGCTGGCAAGCGGCCCCAACTGGCCAAATCAAGTGGACAGAAAAAACCTTTGGAGTATTTCAATAATCGCCATTGAAACACTTGCCCCTGCTGTGTTGCGTTAGAAAGCCGCGCTGGCCACGGACCAGAGAAATTCACCGTGCAACTTGTATTTGTTTACTTTTATTTTTGTGCATTTTACCCGTTTATCTATTATATTTTTGCTGCCCAGACTCTTCTGCATTTGGCCTTATCAAGTTTTGTGGTTTAGACTTTGGCGGCGTGGCCATTTTGTTTTTGGCACGGCGACTAATTAATTGCAACACTCTCTCGTGCCGACAAAGAAGACATCAACCACGGCACGGCAGTCAGTCAGGGCTCTTTGGCCGGTGGCTAATGGCCCGCTGGCTAATGGCCCGCCCGATCGGGTGTCCTCCTATAAATCAGCCAGACTGACAGCGAGGCAGTGAGCCAACGATCCAGATTCCATAACCAATCAGGTGGGGGGGACTGAATAGGTGCGACGACGTCATTACATGCTCACCCGGTCTGTCACAGATAAATATTTATCGTCCACTGGCACGGGTACTGGAAGGGGCTGTGGCACGGACACGGGCTCGTCACCGCCATCAGCCAAATCTTGTTCGTTTTTAATTTGTGGCACTTGTTGTCGTTAAAGCTGTTTAATTGCCCGTCCAATTGCTTCTGGCTTTACTTTCTATGATGGCTAATTAACAGGTCCTTGTTGAAAAACATATATAAATATTTATCATACGCCCCATGGAACTTGTTTCACGTTGCTAGTCTTTTATATGTCATACAAATCGAAAGACTTAGGGCACGAACTTGAAATGTGAGAGCATAACTTCGGGCTTTGAAAAAATAATGCTGCAGACTTTTAGGGGGTTAGTGTATGGGTTTGAGCAGGTCTTATGTTAGCCAAGACATAAGCCTTTCGTAGATTATACAGTTTATATATTTTTATTATTTAAAAAAATAGTAAAAACTTTTTTTTAGCCACTTGAGTTTCTTAGCTAATTGAATTTCTTATATCAGTATGTATAATCGAAATAAAACCCATATATGTATAATTATCATCTCCTTTTTTTAAAGAAATTAAATAAGTGCATTATACATTTATCTATATATTTTACAGACTTTGAATATTTTATCTAAATCTCAAATCCCATTAACTATATGACTTTATCTTATTTCACTTTTCATCCATCTCCATTTCTGTCTATCATTGTGTCACATCTGTTACTGTAACACGTTCCTCTTATAGTTAACACCATTTACATGCCCAGACGCTAATCCATCAATCAACAAGCCACTCAGCCGATATTTAATCTCTCAATCAACAAAACGGCTGCCAAGGAAAGTCGGCAATTACTCTTAACCCTAACTCAATTTGTTGCCATATTTAGTCAGCCAATCTTTCACTCTGGGCAAATATTTGAGCCAAATGGGATAGAAATATGATGCTGCCAAGCCTAAAATAATTATAATCCGTCTTATCCGCTTTTGAATAATTGAACAAAATTGGTTACTTATTTCTTTTTTTTGCTTAAGCTGCTGAGCTACCGAAAAAATATAGCTGGCCATGTCAAGACATGACTTGGACTTCCATTTCAATGTTCGCGATGATGTCGATGATTAGATGGCAGAAAAGCAAAGCCGCAGCACACGCCCCTTGGATGCGGGTATAGAAATTTTTGTGAGCTCCTCGGTGGCAGACACGTCAAATGCCCAATTAATCATAGAGCCCCGAATCACCAAAAAGAAAGACTTTCTTCCGCGAGCTTTCGGGCAGACATCAATCATGTTCTTCGGGCTCTTTAGACGTAATTGTTTCGGCTTCCTCATACAAAGGCGGCACACATTTCTGCATATTATGACTATTTATTACAAATTATCAATCGTTTTAGGTCTACTTGGGGGAAAATAATTTAAATAATTTAATTAAAATTAAGCTTTAATTAGAGTCGTAACTAGTTTTAGGTGTACGTAAAGCTGCGTCCTCGTAAAGTCGCTGACTAAATCGCGGTGGTGTTTGATGGAAACCTCAGCTCTTCTCTAGCGAATCAGGCGCCTCGCCCGATACTTTGTAGGTAACAAGGCCATGGGATCCGTGATGTTGGGCACTGCCACCTCTCCGGGCACTCCGGCTGCGGGCTGCTGGTTCTCCGTGTACTGTCCCGTGGGCGCATAACCTCCGTAGGGATCCGAGCGACTGGCCCAACCTCCCTGCGATTCGTAAGTGTAGCCCTGTCCGGCCAACTGAGCCTGGGTCTGGGCATTGCCGTGGATGTGCAGATGGATTTCCTTGCTAGGGGGATGTCCACCCAAGCCGCCATTACCACTCAGTCCTGTGGTGCCCCACGACTCCTTGGCATGTGGATTCCAGCCCGGATAGTTAAAGGATGGAGCTGTGTTCTCATAGCTTCCAAACAAGCTCGATTTCAAGGTTATGAACTTGCCCAAAATGGCAATGGCATTCATCACGACCAGCACCTTCAGCAGGAACAACGACTTCATTCCAATAGCCACCAAAAAGGCAACCATTGCCGAGAGCACTCCGAACTTGAAGATGATGGGAATCAGGGCCATCTGCAGGCGACGGATTTTTCCAAAAGTACGGCCCTCTGAAAGAAATAATAGTTAATTAATAAATTAAGAACTATACAGCTAGAGAGATAAAACTTATGCCTAAAGAAATCATTTCTCCCAAGATAATCCATCAATAATAAACGCATTAAATCCCATAATGTAAGTCTTGAGTTTAAAAATGAAATTCCAAAGAGTTTATTTGCCTTAACTACTATAATTTCATCAATAAACAGACCTGAACGCCCAGCTATGCGAAAGTCCAATAAAAAACAATTCGCGAAAGGCATAAAAATAATAAATATATACAGCCTCATGGAAAAAAATTCAGCAAAAATATTTTCTCATCATTTAAAGATGAGCAAGCCGCGTTTTGCTGTCTTATTTAATAAATAATTTGAGGGGCTCTAGAAAAGATGCGGAAAGTGAAATTACAATACATACAGACAAAAATCCGAAACCCTATATATCACAGCTCTCAGACGTTTATTTTTTTTTCTCATCCATGTTTGGTGTTAACACCTTTTAGCGGCTTTTTGTTGTTTTGTTAGCCGCTTCTTTTTTTTTGTGTGTTTGAGCTTCATTGAAAACGAAAGTGAATCAAGTCTGGCCTGGCGCTGGGAAATCGGCTTTGATTAGAAAAGCCGCTAATCAGTTTGATGACACGAAGATGCAATCAACTTAAATGAGACCAGCAATCATTTCAAACAGAAGCACTAATTGCGAGTCGGGGGAAACTCAATTTACGCTATTCAGATCTTCAAAAAAAGTATATATGCGATTGAATAATAAAGATTGTTAGATAATAATAAAAACCCACATTCATATCACAATTCTTTTAATCTAAAAATTGTAGGTCATAAGTTGTAATTGTAGGGCTTTTAAGAAACCGTATTGTATTGATTTTAATTTTTTCAATAAAAGCATAGAAGTATTTACTTTACCGGAGGTTTCTCTTTAAAAATTAAACATTATCTTTAGTAAGTATTATATTTTTTGGTGAGGAAAAATCCTATCTCTACCCTCTTTTGTAACTTATCTCTTTAGTCTTCTAGCCAACCTAGATATAAGTCCCTATTCTGCTCCTAATGATCCACAACTTATATTAATGACAAAGATTCTATCAAGAAAAGGTTTATCGTCATAATATCAAATTATTTTGACTTCATGCTAGATTTCTGAATATCAAAGTAAGATGTTCCCAGTGATGACTCTTCACAAATTTCCTAACAACACCGCCTTGATTTCGCTTGAGGCTGTCCCTGCTTTTAGTTCACTTTTTGTCTGATATTTAAATTTTTCTTGTTTTCTTGTTTATTTATTTTGCTGGGGAACTCACCCACTGCGGAGCTGCCGGACGCTGGCTTCCCGTCGTCGTTGTCGTCATCGCCGAACAGGCTTTCACTCAGATCGCTGCGCAGCCAGCCCCATAGAGTACGGACCATGCCCCAGACACTGAGATCCGTGGGGTCGGTGGCGGCCTGAACGGCACTGGGGTTCTTGTTGTTACCCGATGCCGCAGCCTCTTTGTCTGCCCCCTTGGCCGGCTGCTGCTCCTCCTCCTCGTCCTCATCCGCTTCCTCGTCGTCGTCGTCATCCTCGTCGTTTTCTTCCTCCTCCTGGTCGGCTTCTACCGCTGGCTCCGCCTCTGGTACCTTGTTGTCGTTCTGCTGCGAGGGTTTCTCGACCTTTTTGGTTATCTTGGCTCCAAAGGCAGAGCTCAGGCAGCAAAAAGCCAAGAGGAGTACCAGCAGTGAGTGCCGCGCACTTGAACTCTTTGTGAGAAACTGAAAGTGGAACCCATAGAGAAATTATATCAGTGTGTGTTTACCAAGTAAGTGGTTTGTCTCTTTCATTGTCCAGGGAATGAAGAAGACAAAAACAAAAAGCATTTCATCATCACGGTTTTTGGGGCTGGGGTAATTGCGTAAACAAAAGACTTAGGAAACGAACCTGTTGCCACCTTGTCGTGAAACGCACTTTAGAATCCCATTTGAAGCCCCTTTAAAGCAATAAAAAAGTGTTATGTCTTTGATCTTGGCGCGAAAGCATTTCCCATTTTTGTTTAAATAGAGCCTGCGACATTGTTGCGTAATGCCAAATTTTTTATGGCTTTTGGGCCCTGACAGTGCCAGCAATTTATATGTAAATTTTTAAAACTCGCCAAAAATATTGTATAAAACTGGGATTTATATTTAAAAAGAAAACCAGACAAAAGGCAATTTTAAGCGGTTTGTGAACATTAGCTAATAGTTTCAAATTGGCCAAATATAATTTTTTGATCCTAAAACAAACAATTCCGGAAGGGGATTTTATTTTGGATTTAATATAAAATAGTAATTCGGTCACCAAGCGGTGTAAACAATAAAACATTTTATAATACCACGCATTTTGTAAATATTAATGACCCAGCCAGCCCATTACCATAAAAACCTACGACAAAAAAAACCACAAACTCATCGAATATTTAACATTCCCACAAAAACTAAAACATAAAACCTTTACTGCCCCAAAGTGAAATTTAAATATGACCCACCAAGCCCTTATCTGCCGGCAAAAATTTATTTTCTAAGAATACTTGACGAAAAAAAAAAAAACAGAAAGTCATGGCTTTCCATTTTCAATTCACCTGCAGAATCCCCCAAAACATAATTATTGTATCTAATTGGGCAGAAGCTGAGATGATTTTAAAAGAAAAGAAAGAGATTCCCCAATAGCCTTTGGGAATGTGATGGTTCCAAAAGAATCTCAGACCCAACAAAAGGTAAACAAATTATATGGAGCTAACGGTTGGCTCCATTCCCCCAAAAGAATATCCATCAAATCGCCCTACAGACGCTTCAATTAACTGGGCCAAAACCAAATTTGCATGGCCTAAAACAAACAGTGGGTTAGAATTCTTAACGCGATTTGCGTTCGGTTAGCTTTATTTAATAAAATTATATTTATGGCCTATTGTTTTGACTGATTTCTTGTTAGTGGGGCAGAGTCTTTTGTGCCCAATTCGATTTGGTTAAAACTGTAAAAGGAAATCAATTTTGGCACGGCCTTGATTCAGTTTAAAGCACGCAAAGAAAATTGATTTAAATTCCAAGGCGGAAAACAAAAAAGAAATGCTTTCCCTCCCAAGTGATGCAACCAACCAGAAGAAGAAATGCTTTGTCAAATACCCATTTATGTATGGATTAATTGATTTACATAATTTTCCAGTTGAGATTGACAGACTGAACTTGGTTTTCCAGCTTAGTTTCACTATTGGGTTATTTGTTTTATTCACAAAACCCGTACGGCCGGGCCTTTTAATTAACATCTTCTGATTTGTTTCATCATCAAAGTCGAACATTATCGCATCTGAGTCAGATGCCGAGACAGACTCACTTTCATGGCAGCTTCTCGGATATTACGGGTGAAATTTCATTCGTCTTTATCTTGTTAATATGTAAATATTAACCAAAGGTATTTGCACTTGCTGCCCGAGAAAGATTTCGCCTTTAAATTCCACAGAAATGATGCCAAAAAAAAATATCAGTAAACATGTGCTCTGAAAGATTGTATCTCAGGGTTTTTGTTTTTGGGGCTTACTGGAAAATCTCCATAAATTCTGTCGATTAGGCAAAACATTTAACAAATTTGCTGAACAATTTGCCAGCAATTTTAAATCATTTGTGGCTGTCTAGCCTATTATTTAACGCTGTTAATAAACAAAATTAACTTTAAATCGCAATAAACATTATTATACGCATTTTGTTATTTGAGCTAATCCACCCAATGAACTATTTATTGTCTGTATTATTAATTAGAGTACTCATAAACGCGAACTTTCCTTTCACGTGGGTGTGTAGCACTTATTTTATGATTTTATTTCTCATGTCAGTAAATGAAGCCATAAAATCTTGAGCTTATCTCGAGTAATTATGCATCTATGGCACGACTTTCTTTGGTTATGACTAGGCTTTGTCATAAAAACTAAAGTATGAGCTAGTGAAGTTGTTAGTAAACCAAAGTCGATGATGCAATTAGTTGGCACGTGGTTGAGGCAACTAATTTAGCCATTCGACGACCATTATCTAATGTCAATAAAATGTCGCAGTTCAAGACACTGTATGACATATATATGAATTAATGTGTTCAGCTGCAAGCCAAGTTAATAATGGCCCACAGATTTTAACCAACAATTGAAAACTGGCCGGAATGAAAACACGCCTCAAAAGAAAGTTTTTTTCTCGAAACGAGCGTCGGACAAACAAGTGATTTTTGTGCCAAGAATTGTTGGCATTTGTCACACTGGCTTTTTGGCCAAAAAAAACATTTTGTTGGGCCTTTTGTTCCTTTTTAGAGGGCAGATTGAAGAAAAGCGATTGGGGACAGATGGAGCGTGTCTAACATTTCAATGTATAATGCAGAGTGAAAAATTAAAGGGGGTTTTCCAAAAAAAAAAACAATTATTTCTATAGGGCCTTGTGAGTCAAACTAATTCTAAAAAAAGAGGTTTTTGGACCCAATACTCTTTCTTTTTTTTAAATAAATATTTTTTTATGCATTTTTCATTGTAAATCCTTTTTTTCAGTGCACTCTTTGAACTTGTCCCCTGATTTTTGTGACCATTTCGTACTCACCATATTGATTGTATGAAAACTTTGATTTTCAGTTAATTGGTGTAGTTGCTGTATCCTGAGCTTATTTGTGATTGATGTGGACCACTTTCACGCCAAATCCGTGGCACGCAGATGTTGGCCAAAAAATTATACACGAATCTACCAGCTAGCTAATAGTGGCTAGCAAAGTATTGGTTTTGGCCAATGGAGATATGCAGAGATACGGCTTAAAATCGAGTTCGCATGGAAAGCGACTGCAACGCTTGAGATGTGCCCGTTGACTGCCATTTGGATCTGGCCTCGGCCACCAGGTAAGATCTACCTCTGTCGGCGTCTCTGCTGCTGTTGCTGCTTCGGACCAGTCTTGGCCAAGCCAAGACGACTTGGCGCTTCTTCGGCGTGTTTGTTTTTGCCTTAGCCACTAGTTGGCACTCTCACGAAAACGGAGACAGCCGGAGCACACGCGCTCCCAGTTACAATTTCGTTTTCAACACTTTCTTCACAATTTCCCCTAAACGGCAGCAGCAGCCACCAAAAACTGCAAAGTCAATGTCTCTCTCTCTTCCTGTCTTTCTGGCCTTTATTACGAATTGTCGTGTAATGGCTCAGAGCATGAAAATGTTTCGTGAACGTGACAAGACGCACAACTGACGTCACAACTATAAAGGCCCCAGTACCCAGTACTACTTATTACACTTCCATTGATACGATTCGGTCTAGTGATTAGTTATATTAAAACTATTTAGTATATTTGACATTTTTAAAATTTTTTGTACGAAAAAATTGAAGTAAATTATTCCCAAGTATTTTTTTGAAATAAAGATGCCAAATAAACTAAAAATTTTAAAATAACATGTAGTTAAGATAGAAACGACAGAAAAAAAGGTTCACAGGTTCACTTTTTATTGAACATGATAAGAAATTACCTTTAAACCTTAATATACGTATGTACATATGAACATACATAGTTTTTTATTAATTTTAAAAAATCCTTCAACCTAAAACAATTAAATTTCATTAATTATATGATCAAATAAATACCACAAACTCCAAACCTAATGAGGGAAAATATTTTTAACAATTTTTATTTGCCTTGTTGCATTTTATTCAACACCTCTCGAAAAGTGCATTACAGACATTTGTAATTAACTAATTGGTTCATTTAAAAGCAATTGAAAATAATTTAACAATTTTCCATTTCAGCCTAAAGAGCATTGGATCTGGGAGCAGAGTTTTTTGCTTTCTCATTTCGTGTTTTGACGGCCAAAAACATTTTTGCCGGCTACCTTTTACAAGCCGTCTTCGTCGTGATTGGATTGTCTTGACCCATTTCTCCGGGCTGGCTCTCTCTCTTTCTGGCCACATCATGGTCTCTCTTTCGTTTACGCATTCCCATTCACATTTCCCAAAGACCCATCTGTCCCGAAGTGATTTGCATGATAATTCCATGGGTTAAAGTTCTAGTTTTTGGAGAATCTTTTGTTACATTGAATGGATCTGTTTTGATTTGTGATCCATAATTGTCACAGATCCATGAGGTGGTTACAGTTAAGAAGAACATTCCACAAAAAATCAGGTTAAAGAGATCTTTTCACAGGCAAGTTGGTGGCACTTTATGATCGTACACTTTATTGGCATTACATCAAAAATAAAACTCAAAGAAGTTGCCACATTTCCAAAGTTACATAAACAATGCAGGTTCATTGCTCTGCCTTGGTGCAGTGTTTTTCGTCTGGGCTTAATCCACAAGGTTTATCCAAATCATTACATAATGTTGGCCAACTGGAACTCTAGCGATTGTGTGTGAAAACCGTTAAGTACACCGACAACACGAGTTCAGGTTCAGGTTCACTCTGGGGTTGAGCTCTGGGTTCGAGTTTCTTGCTGTTGCTGACTTTAATGTCAACGAAACCTATTCTGGGTCTTCCAAAAAAAAAAAAAACCGAAATACTTTTCAAGAAGTAGCACTTATCGTAACGGTTCTCACACCTTTCGTGTTTGCTCACCTGTCTGGATTATCAATATTGAGTTGGTCATCAAATTAACATTTTTATTTGGTTTTTGAAAACAAAGAAATATCTTGTTTTACCTTTTTTATAGCAATTAGATATCTTAAACGATCGTATTAGATTTCCGTTTTCCGGTTTAGTTTTTTAGTATATTTTTATCAAGAAAGAGAGTGTCAAGAGCTAACAATAAAGTCAACCAAAGCTTGACCCATATTTCCATGTTCTCTTAAAAAAATCATATTTTTATTTTAAATAAATATCATGTTTTTATTGAAAGTATATAATAAATAATAACAAACAAATCGCCTTCTTGTAGGCCTACTTCTTGCCCCAATTGGAACCATAAATGTTGGCATAATAGTTCTGCCAGTTGGAATTACTCCACGAAGCATAGGGATTATAATAGTTGGTATTGTAGTACGTGGGATACAGATATTGGCCAATTACATAGGGCCAAATGCGAATCTGTGTATTGCTGTAAGGACTTGGTGTCGTATAGGTGCTGTAGTAGTAAGGATATGGCGTTGTCGTGTAGTAGTAGTTGTTTAAACTGGAGAACGTGGGACTTGGTGTATAGTACGGATTGTATTGGTTATAATACTGGGCAGAAGCAAGCTATAAAAAGTTTATATTAATTTATTAATATGTATTAAAAAAAATCTTTTTTCAATAGTTACCGCTAAAAGGGATGCCGCCAAAAGCATAAAAGCTAAGCTGGATTTTTGTGACATGATGGTTAGAGACTGGATTTAGTTTTCAAACTGACAATTCTTCTCTCCGGCTTTTCTAATTTATAAAAATGTGACCGATGAACAATTTTACGCCCCGCTGGCAGGTGCCAATTTTCCTCCAATTACCATTTTTTACTGGGGATTCGACACTTAGTGACCATTTCGTCATTGAACTTGACTCATCCGGGTAACGTTCGGTGCCAGCAACCAGCATTCAGAGGGGTTGTTTACCCATGGAGTTGATACGGACCCCGGTGGATTCCCGTGACGTGTGCAACAACAACGATAATAGCCCCAAAAACATATTTAACAAATTTGTAAAAACATTTTGTTTTTCGGTAACAAAATTAGTCAATTAATTAGACAAGCATTAAAGGCTAGCAATTGGATTTTGTTTTTATTTCGATTTAAGATTGCTTACAAATATGATAGATTATTTGTAAATTATACAATAATGTGGCGTACCCCTTCGAGGTTGTTCCGGGTTCTTTTATTTCAATATTTTTATTATTTTGGGTATGTAAGTGGGGATTTTTGAAATTTATTTTCTTTTGCAATGGAAATGGAACTGGGACCCATCTCTATATATACATTATATACACATCATCTCGTACTCCTACATTCGACTCAATTAGACTACAATACAAAGGTACAAAACACGAAACTCAACAAAATCGTCAACAAGGCGCTTAAATTAATTCATCTCACTTCCATGGAATTTTATAAATTTTCTTTCTCACAATTACTCAGCGTTTTTCATACGATTTTTAATTTAATTAGTTTTTCAGTTTTTTTTTCTTATTTGATTGTTTTTTCTTTTTTTGCAGAGACAATAAATATTTAATTAGGAGCATTAACTGTTTAGTAATCCTCATCGTCTTCGTCTGGGGGATCTGTGGCATAAGTCAGTTCGTTTAGATAGAACCATTTCTATAAAGGTTTTTGGGGAATTATTATTTAGGATTATCAAGAGAAATAAAATGAGAAATATCTAAAACCTACTGGTGACTCAGTGCAGTTGAAATTATAATCCCAATCACAGATTCTGTACTCCTGGTTAAAACTCGTCTCATTGGCGCACAGATGCGGTATTCTGTTGCCCTCCTCATCGCACATGTGAAATATCTAAAAGAAATAGTTTCAAATTTAACTTGGCATACTTTTAGGCACTTTTCTTTATTATTAAGCTTGGCTTAAAGCTCATCTCACCTGGCAATTGTACTCCATATCGGCATAGAAACCCACGGATCGCCTTTTGCAATCAAATGAGAATGTTATGTTGTCTAAATTCGTCCATTCCTTCGTCTTGTGATTTTGAAATACTGGACTGGCGGGCTCTTGGCCTTGAACGGCAATGGCGGCTAATAGAAGGGGACCTTCATGGCAGGGTAACAGGAATTTTGTATTAAAATAAATCAGTTGAAATATATATTTATAAATATTAATAAGGCTATAGGCTAATAAACTATTTTTTGCACCTGCAATGCTTAGCACCTGCTCAATAGCTTGGCTTTTGTTTAAGGGACTCTCCTTCAGCTTTTGATTCGGCCATGGCCAATTTTATAAGTTATTTGGCTCACGCATGCCCCAACACACTCCAAAACGGGCCAAAAAAAGCGAGCCCCACAAAAATACCACTTGGCTAAGCAACGTGAATGGCTTAATCGACGCACTTAGCATTTAATTTGTGTCTCCGTCCCGCCATCGAGCTGAACCGAGACTGAGGTATTGAGGCCAATACTCACTCACCTAGTAATACGCCGGAAAGCCATAAAAATCTATAACTGTAAACCATTTTTGTGGCGGTGAACATTTTGGCTTGTATTTCTGTTTTTCCTGTCCTGTGTTTGGCTAAAAGTATCGCCTTCAGGCCGCTCTTTTCGATATCACACTGAAAATCCAAATCACGATCGACTCTATCGCTCTCTCTCTCCCTCTGGCCTCTATCCTTCTCTTTCCCGCACTCTCTCTCGCTCTCACTCGCACTTATGGCCGTTCGCTACGTGTCCATTGGGCTGGCTCTGTTTTCAATTAGGAAGCGTGTCTGCGGTTTATGGCCGGCACATGGCTAAAATGAGGAACAAAACAACAAAGTATCATAAAATTAGTTTATTTGGAAATGGACTAGAAAGGTCATTCGAAGATATTTTATATTATAAGAGGTGAAATTTGGGTATTAAATTAAAAAATTATATTAAAAAAAGTGTTTTTTAAGTAATTTCTACCAAGTGGAAACTATGTATGGGTTATACATGTCGTATGAGTAATGTTTTAGATGTAGTTTTTATTAGAAAGAAATTTTAATATTAATTCCTAAAAAAGTGATTTAAACCATATAAGATATATAAAAAAAACATTTTTTATGTTTAAATAGATTATAAAGTTTAAAAATAGTTCTGGGTCAAAGACTTCGACTTGACATTGTGTCGTATGAGTAATATATTTTAAACTTAAAGAAAGATAACCTTAATTAAAAATATCAAAACAAATTCCTTTTCTTAAAAAATTGTATAAATTTATCTTATTTTTTAATGTAAATATTTTATAAAGAATAATAGAATAGTAGCTGACTCATGAATCTCATAAGCTGGGGAATCCCTTGATTTCTTAGAAGTCTTATTTGTATATGATAATCATTATAAATTATGTATTTCTTCCAAATTTCAAAGCTATCAGGTACGGAATGGTACCAATTAGTGATCTAAAAAAATACAAATTTAATCTTTCAGACTAAACATAACAAATTAATATGAAACCCCTTATGTGGCAAGTTATGGGTAACTTTGGCTTAAATCTTAAAAGCCAACAATGATGAAATTCTATTGGCATAACTATATCGAAACTTCCTCCTTCCGTCATTGACAGGTTAAAGTGGGCACCGGCAGCAGCTCATTACAAAACCAGACAGTCGCGGCTTAGACGCAATTTACATGCCAAACCCACACCAAAAAAATAAAAAATAAATACAAAATAAGTTTTTTCGGTTTGACTCATCAAGCCGGATGCCTCTTCGCTAATTGATTTTTCTTCGACATAAAGTCTCAGAGATCAAGCCAAATATGCGGTTCATGGGCCCACACCTTGTCTGTGGCCAACAGGATATGTAATTGTTCAGATTTTGCCACTGACCCACTTTGCTGTCATTCAAAAAATCAAAATTCTATGCCTTCTGCTGACTAATCATTGGCGTAAATTGAATAAATAAAATATTTCATAATGTTTCACATCAATCACACTCTGTCAAATTAACAAGAAACGTATTTGAAATGCTTTAAACGTCATTAAAAGACAATCAGTCAATGGCAGATCCAATCAGCGAAAAGAATTTATTATGCAAAGCCGTTAAGCGATTTTTGGATTGGATTGAAATATTTGCGATCATTTTGGCAGTTTTATTGCTGATTGTTTTTCTCTTCCCCATTTAAGAAGTGAAAGAAGGCCGTGTTCGACCTTGCAGACTCAATTAAATTGTCAACCGCAGAAGAATGGCCGATTCCGTTGATTAACTTTTCGTTGTAGACTTTAGTCTTGGAATGACCCACTCCCCGAATGGCTACAGCATCTTTCACTTTGAGGCCCTCGGGGCCGCGGGTTTAAATCCTTGACATTTTATTGCAATTTATGGCCGGTTGGATGCGTAGATGCCATGTCGATTGCCATATGGCTGGAACGTCCACGGAACATCCCAGACAAAATAATCGTAAATTTTTTTTGTCTCTGGGGCCTCCCGCACAAAAATAATTTTCATCTTCAGCGCCAGGAGCTCAGGGAAACAAAAGTTCGAATGTCTGGGCTTTTGCTTTCTGAAAAAAATGAATGATATGCAAATTTTTCTTCTTTTTTTTTAGCTAAACTATAGTCCATGATGAAGTGAAGGCAGTCTTAAGGCGACGTAAAAGGTCATCAGTGCCAGGCAAAGCAAAAAGTCATCTTCACGCAAAAAACTGGAAACAATTTTAAAGATGGTAGGCCAAAACAAAAATGAAGAAAGAGGTTAAAATAATAAAAATATTTAAAGAACTCCCTTAATTTTTTTAATTACTAAATAAAACTTTAATATCTTCAAATATTTTTTCTAACTGCAGCAAAAGAGGAACGAAACAAAGAGGCGCCTTCAAGATGACACAGCATCCACGACTTGTTCGAACCCTGTCCATTTGGTCATCTTGTCCACTGTCCGTTGTCCGCTGTCCCTTGTCCATCTTTCACCATTTCAACTCACCAGGGTTGCAGCTCAGTGTCATCTCTTCTTGCCCCCGAGGCAGTGTTGCCTGTTTCCGTAAAGTGGACTTTAAAAATCCCCCTTTTATGGCTAATGGGAAAACACTTAATTGAACGCCTACAGATCCTTAAGAGGCTTTTGGCTTAAAGGTAATTGATTTTAACGGATTTCATAAAATATGTTTGGCGCATATTTTGGTTAAGTAATTGAGTAATTAGCCATTCATTTTCAAGTCACGTGTCTAAATTTTATGGCCATATCTTTGTCATATAAAGTAGATAAGTTTGGATAATATTTTTGGCAAGTTTTCTGTTAATTTTAATAAATATTTTTCTTTACAATTTTTATGAAAACTCTTAAAAGCAGATGAGGCACCTGGGTTTCCCCGTTTAAACTCATGGCATCGTCACTTTTGACATTTTCTGACAAGCGTGAGAAGCAGCCTCTAGTCCCTGGCCCTCCTCCCCAAGAGACATACAGGTAGACCCCATCTGGCATGGTCCATCAATTTGCTTTGGCTGGTTGACTCGGTGAAGCCCAAAAGCCGGGTTCTGTGAGCCACCAACTTCCAGCCCGGGCCGAAAAACTAGCAAGTACATTGCATTCTGTGTGCTTGTCTTTAAGCCATCTGCATGCCACAAACATGCAAGACATTTTTTTCTTATTGTATTTTAGATTGTTGTGTTTGTAAAAAATACAAAAAAAAAAAACATTTTGAAAGTCTCATTTTACATTTTATGTTCGGACGGAGGTTTCGTTGATTGGGTTTGCGGCTAATTCGGAAGTTTGTTGGCGTTGCCTTGCGAAACATCGCACTAATTTGTTAATTTCTGACGCGTAACCAAAGGCGCAATGTTTTATGGCTTTTTGGCACTGTAAATTTATGCAAATTTTGGTTTTTCAAATTATATTATTTCTTGATGAAACCCAACACCAAGGCGGAAAATCCAAGAAGAAAGTTTAGGAGCAAGGTCGTTTTGAGATGGGTGTTCGGTAATGGGAATTTTCAATTGAAGTTACTTTTATTTGGGATTTACATATATTAATTGTCTGTTTTATATGAAAGTTAATTTTCAGTTAGGAATTTTTAAAGAATAGTACATAATTTACTAAATCCATAGGTCCCATAAAACCAGAGATTCATGGGACGTGGATTTTATGAAGTATTTTCGAAAATATGTTTCTCAGAAAACTTAATTAAATAAAGAGATCTAAGAACATAGCCGAAAAACTTAATAAAATGTATTAATTAATAAGTAAACATTTAAAAAACACATATATATTAGATTAAAAAAAAAGACCGCATTTTCTTTAAAGTTTAAAGAGTAAAATATTTTCTAAAGTTTATAGATTTCTTTGCCTTTTTCTCTTTTCTTGAACAATAAAGATAGTCCTAGATTATTTAATTGTTTGTTTAATTGAAATAAATTATCCAGTTTCTGATAACATAAAAAAAACAATCTCAAACAACAATACACCATTATATTAAATTTTTTTTTTATTTCTTATTTATTTTTTTTATCTCAACAAGTGCAACAATGTAAGATGAATGAAAAGACAACACAAAAAAAAATTAAAAAGGAAAAGCCGAGAAAATTATTTCACTTATGCATTTGTTTGTGTGTGGAAGTATGTATGTGTGTGCTGCAGCGGAAGCGTCGCTAATTGGCGGAACTGCTGCTCAGCAGCTGCAACAAAAACAACAACAATAACAACAAGAGAAATAACAACAAGAAACACAAAATATGTTGAAATGACGATGATGATGACGACACCTGAGATGGCTTATTGCCACCGCCCCGCCGAATCGGATCTGGCATCGTATATCTCATCGCATCGCATCATATCGGATTGGATCGGATGGAGCACTTACATAACCCCAAAGGCGGTAAACATGGCCTAATCATCTCATCCATCCGACTCCCAAGTAGCGGTTAGCCAAATTGATTAGGCCGACACCGTTGACACTTCCACACATGGACATTTTTTGCGCACAAACACATTTTTCGTTAGAAAACTGATGCCGAAGCTGAAGCTAAAAAAATGGATGCCTGGACATTTAATTGAACGGCAAGCCAAATGAAAAACTTGTTAGCCTGATACCAGATTTACCGGCCATCTCCCCTCTCTGTCGCTCTTGGCCCACTGCTTCCTGCCGCTTCCCCCTTATCGATATTGAAACGCACCGCCCGGCGCCTCACTTCCGCCCTCTTCATCTCCCGGCAACGACGATTATTGGCCTTGAAAATTCGGTACGCAGAAATGCGCTTAATGCGAAAAATCAATATCGCCAAAAACACACACATACTCAGAGTCACACATATTAAGGCCAGTAACAGCAAATCAACAAAAAAAAACTTAAAGAAAAAATATATAAAAAAAAATAATAATACTCAGAAAACCGGCTCGAACTCGGACTTGTACTAAACGAAGCGTTGAATGCAAATTTTTAAATGAAACAGCTATACCAAAAACCCCACAAAATTTAACATAAATTTAAAGAGAATTTAGAGCTTCAAAAAGTTAAAAAATATCTCCACCTCTGCCTATTAAAATAAGATTACTTTCTTTACCCAAACATACAACACTATAATCCCCTAGATATCTCTCTCATAACATAATTGAGTGTGGCAATAAAATTTTTGACAACTTAAGCTGATATTTTAATAGTTTATTTTGGGTTCAGTGCAACCCAATATACCACTAAAAGAAGTGATAAATAATGATATTATTGATCTAAAAAAATAAGAGGAAATACCACTCATTTTCAGGGGGAGGAAGCCAAAGCCAACAAAAATTAAGGGGACAACTTTTTCGAAAGCGGGAAAATGTAATCCAATTAAAACTCAACCAATAAATAACAATTATGGGCCTAAGAAAAAAACAATCTTTCAACTTCCTTAGCAACCGAATTTATTAATTATTTTCATTGTTTGGGAAAAAGGAAGGCGGGGAAGTGGAAAGCAAGCTTAAAAGGTCGCACCAAATCAATAATTAATTAAAATTCCATTAAATGCGGCGATTGGACCGGACCGGCCAAGAAGTAGCATTGATCGATCGATCAGACAATGCCGATTCAGTGATTTAAATGCCATCAGCTGGTGTGTCGGACAACCGCAGAAGCCCCAATAACAACAAAAGTCAGATCAGCTACCGATCTGACCAGAGATATATATACGTGAGATCCAAAGACGATGTCCATCCGTCAGCATTAACATATCGGCAACAATCGGTACAAGGGCATAACATCATCTATCCATCGGTTGATGATGCCGAAAAGGTAAAAATCACTACATACTTTGGTTATCTGGACAGATAGCCATTATATATGGCATATATATACAGATATTTTTAGATTCGATTCGCCGGTAATTTGCTTTGGTAACATCACTCATTGAGGTTGATATTGAGAGGAGATCGACAACTCATCCAATTTGTAGTGCGAATTGAACCCTAAAGGCATATGCCTTTGAAGTGGGAATTAACCCTGCCTCCTCGAAAAATAATAATCATAATGAGATCTTGTTGCCATGGAAGACATGGAAGATGGCCAACATCAGAAGCATTTTTATTTTCATGTCTTGAATGAAAAGTTAAGCCCCAAAACTTGATGAACTTGGCAGTTTTGGTTTCTTTAAGGTGTGATTGAGAAACCTTTTAGCCACATAAATTCAAACTAAACTTAACTCTTATTTTTTAGGAAGTCGATGCTGCTAAAGCTTGCACATTCATCTTGGCGTTGCTTTTATTTATTTTAATGTTTGTCTTAAAACTAGTTCCGATGATCTGCAAACATTAGTGCAAAATTTATGATCATCGATTCTAAAATCTTTCCATGACAACCGAAAAATCGTCAGTGACGCAAAACCGTAAATCCATAATTTAAATGAATTAGTTAACATAAATTGAGGAGTTTATTGATTTTACTTTTTTTTTCGTTTTTTTGGCAATCAAAAATATTTATATTTCTAACGGGAGACTTCACTTGACATTTACGGATGTCTGGCAATTCTAATTCTGGTTTGATTTCTCAATTGCTATTGTAAGTTGAACCTGTTTTTGTACGGTTTTGAACGAGAAACCCTTTTGGTGGAGTTCAAGGCTCGCCACGTGTCGTATACGTGATGTGCCGGCACTTGAGCAAATGCACAATCCACACATTGCAGTCACCACCCCACCGTAAACGCTTTTCACACAATTAAACAGCAGCAATTGCCAAGAGCCAGCAGGCAGCATTAACTAACTGACTTGTAATGTGGCAGCAATAAATTTTATGTAAATCGTTGCCTTTTTTTCTCTGTTTTTTGTGTTTAGTTTAAGTTTTATTGCAGCCACAGAAGAAAACGGTACTGAGAGCTAAACAATGCAAATAAATTACGGCTGCGGGCCTGAGTGTACGGCTACGGGTACGGATACATTGTAAACTGATGTGCATTTGAATGCAGAGATGTACACCCACACCGGCACATACACACATAGATACTGGCATTTTTTTTACAAAGATTTTTCAAGAATGCAGTTCAGCATGCACAGGACAAAATTTAAGATACTTTTAAAAAAGATTTTGAATATAAAACCGAGGTATTTTTTTATTACTTGTTATAAAGTTTTAAAATATAATAACTACTCTTTCAGTGTACTGAACCTGTACTAACAAAACAACAAGTTATTTTAATCCAACTCTTAGATTGCCAAGAATTTGAAACTAAAAAACATCTTGACTGTGTTTTTCTTCAAAAACATATTCAAGAATGTATAATAAAATGAATTAGTAGCTTTTGTGAAACTAAAATAGCTAAAAAATTAAACCGGCTGGGCAAAACAGAACTTGCTAATTAAATAAAATGGTCTGATTTTTAAAAAATGGAACATGATTTCGCATAATACATACTAATGCTAATGATATATTTAGTCAAACAAACTAGTTTCGTTTTAGAGATAAGGTCAAACAATCAAATTTATAAAAATTTATAAACAAGCAAGTTAATTTTTGATAAAATTTCATTTAAAACTAAACTAAAAATATTATTTTGACACACAAACATATATATTCTATAATAAAAAACACTATAATTAATATTAATGACGGCGATAATTTATATCATGTTTAATATTATTTCATGAATAAAACAAAACTATGGTCTAAGATTTATGAAGACTTTAACACATATTAATTTTAGCATAATTTAGTTGTTCATCAAAACATAGAATTAAATATTTTTTTTTTTTCATTTATTTTCCTAGAGATATTCTGAGCTTAGAGGACCCCCCATTGGGTAACTTGTTTACTTATTCTTTTGAATATTCATGTGGCACATGTGGCTAAGAGGCTTCCAACTGGCTACCACAGCATTGTTGAATTATTGGCTGAATGGCAAAGTTTAAACAATTGGCCCGGCCAAGATCCTACTCAAATAGCCATTGAGTGACTCTTAATGATTGGAGGCTTACGCAAATTGCTCCGATTTGTGACAAATTTTCGATGTTTTTTGGTGTTATTGGGTAGGCATTGAATTATGCTAATGATGCCGATAGCGATACATCATTATGTGCGTGGCGAGCAGATCGTTATGTAAGTGATCGGTTTTGGTATTTTTGGTTTTTGGTTTTCTTCAACTCGAATTTGGAGCACGCATTGTATAAGAGCTATACTCTGCAGCCTGCACTTTGCAAGCCAACAGAAAAAATAAATGTATAAAAAATTATCAAGACGAGGGCCTACCTTGTGTCTTTTGGAGGTTGGAGGTTGCACTGAGGCTGGGTAAATCCAAATCAGATCCAAACAAACAACAACAACAACAATAACAACAAGAGTGACGAAAAATTCGCGCAAATCCAACAAGCGAAACCGAGAGTCGAGGGGCACTGCAAACGACTTTCTTGCCAAATCTTTGAGGCTGCCGCTTAATTATTTTTGAAAACGCATTTGCATAAGATTTTCTCGCTGGCTATATTAATATATACATATATTTTTTGTTTGTTGATTTTTTTTTCTTGTTATTTCTTTTTTTTATGTAATAAAAACTGGAACTGGAAAAACTATATCTATTACGATGGCGATTTCATCGGCAATTGTTGCTGCTGTTAATGGTGTTGCTATTTTGCTATTTCACCACCCAGAAAAAAAAAACAGCAACAATATCTTTTATTTTATACATCTATCTCTATATTTATATATATATAAATTATATATATAGATAAATATTGCTTTTTCTTCACACGCACACACCGACACGGACAATCTGTGAGATACACGCGCACGCCTCGCCTTGCCTCGCCGCGTATCCGTTGGATGCAAAGACAAAGACAAATCAACAACCGTTCGCTTTGGAGCACGTCGCACGAATAAAACGGCTAAAACGGCCCAAAGACCAGGCCAACCAAGCCAAACACTTGACGGTCCGCAAAAACACACAGTCAGAGAGGCAAAAAAAAAAAACAGTAAAAATAAATAAAAAACTTAAAAAAGGCAACTCGAAAATACAAAATACAAAGTCAACGGCAAAGTCAAAAGACAGGCGCGAAATGAAAAGTGTTTCTTGGGGCTTGTCTTTGGTTGGTTTATTATTGTTTTTTGTCTCTTATTTTTTTTTTTGATTTTTTGGCCAATGCATTTGCTTTTGGCCTCGTTAGCTTACGGTTCGAAAACTTGGGGAGACGGTCGTGAAAACGTTTGCAAAGTCAGCGTTCAACTGGTTCGCAGGCCGCCGCTCAAATTGGTTTTATACGCGGATCGTATCGGATCGGTTGGGATCGAAACGTATCCGACCGAATGCCAGCTGAGTGCTGCTGGCTGAGCAGCGAGTATCTCAGAGATACATCCGTTGCATTCGCAATCGCAGAAGAGCTGCTGGTAGTCCATTGAGGTAGGTTGAGCGCTCACAGACTCCAGCACCAGCAGCATCAGCCTAGAGCGTGGTGTGGTGGCTGGTGGTTTCTTGTCGGTGGTGCCAACTGGTTCCACTTTGCATCAATTTTCCCCCAAGATCTCAGCGAGTTGGGTTTTCTGATTCAAGCAGTCATGGTTCATTCAAAATTCAGCCACTTCATCTGTAAGTTCATGGCTAGACAAATATGCGAATACTGATTAACTAGTTCTATATAATGGCCAAGACTATTGACGCATTTAAAAGCTTATAGTTCTTGGTTGGACCTCTTAATACGCTTTCTCAAGGTAATTCTTAGGGTTCTTCAAAATACAGAAAGATTCTAAGATAAGATAATAATTTATAGGAATATTTCCACAGAAACCTCATTTGATTTTATTAATTTTAAATGGCGAAAAGATTGCCACCATAAGTTGCCACAATTGGAGGGTATTCTATACCCAGTCTTGCCTTAGAGTGCTACGTCCTTCCTTTCTCGTTTTTAATTAACATAATTAAAACAAAATAAAGGCGAGCAAAACCACAGAATGTATAAAATGAAATTAGCATGAGAACAACTTTTAGTTTTTATATACTTTTAATTTTTGGTTTTCTGTTTATTTTTTTGGGAATCTTCTGTTGTGTGAGCGTTGTTTTTGGAATGCTGTTAACTTTGCGTCAAGTTCATCAAACACGTCTGATTAGGAGACCGCCCGCTCCAACTGGTTACTGACCACCACCACCAGTGGTCACCAGCCCCTTCATGTCTGAAGTCTGAATCCGAGTGTTTTTTTTAGGGGGGGTTTTCGGGCTAGTCAGCTGGTCATTTGAATGCCAAAGGCATCGCACGCTGCTCTTTTCACATTTGCCGTTGCCGTTTCTGTTGGTCTTTTGGCTTTAAAAAGCAATTTATGATGAGCGCAAACAACAAATTTATGACCAGCCAGTCAGCCAGCCGACTCCGACACCGACACCGATCGGAATCACGGAATCAGACACCGACCCAGCCGAATGATGCGAAACTCTTTTTTCTTAAATGTCAAACTAATTTAAGCCAGGCGATCCATTAAAACTGGATTAATTAAAGCCGCAACGGCAGTCACAGCCAAATGAAGCCATTGATAGTGATCAAGTATCCAAAATTTATATATTTCTATGGCTTGATGGCTCTCAAGCGCTAAAATCACTGACTGGATGGTTGATTGATTAGCTTATTAAATGAAGATTGTGAATCTTGTTCATTAACTATATTTTAGCAGAGGTTTATATGAAAAAAGTTAACAAATTAGTTAGTGGCTTGTACTAGTTGTTTAACAACTAATAACATCAATCTATAAAATAGTATGAGCTACTTTAAGGGACCTTCAAGCCACATAGGAATTCTTACAAACCTATATTAGCTTAGCCATTGTGTGATTCACAGACAAATTGCTTTTTGAATGGTCTGGTTTTAGATTATATTGAATGCCTGACTAATAGATCATTTCAATAGACTGTCTGATTGATTATGGACCGTATGTACTGGCGCCCAGAGGTTGTCATTCAATTGGCAGTTCCGCCAAAGATCTATGTCTCCCAGCGTCTGTCTGGTCGAGTGGTCGAGTAGTGTGTAATTAGCACACTTTGCTTATATAATTACTTCAAATATTTTAATTAACAAGTGGCAACTAGCAGGGCGTATGCGCAATACCCGCTGCTCTCGGTGCTGCACTTGGTCAATTAGAGTCGAGTGGCCCACAAGCTGTGGCTCATTTCCAATACGGGCCACAAAACCCGAAAAGGAAAGGAAAGGTGTTGACCTTGTCAGGCCAGCACGCACCTCCGAGGCGTTAACTCACCTGGTTAGCCTTCTTCTGCCCAAAACACTTTAAGTCTTTTTTAATTTAAAACAAAACCAAAAATGAAATAAAATAAAATGAAATATATTCCAAAATGTCCAATGATAATGTCCAATGGAAACTCTTCAGAAGCCGGTCCGAAAATTAAAAAAAAAAAGTGAAAGTTCCCCGGAGCATCGTCACATCGTCCCTAAATCATTTCAAGTTCAAGGTTTTTTGGTCACTGGTATTTAAACATTTTCACATTTCAAATGTATTTTTTTGTTTATGCCCCCACATATATGTATTTTTTTAACACTTATAAATATATATATTTGCGCTAATTTCTTGACATTTACCGCTTTCGTTTAGGGGGTTTGTTGTTGCCATACTTGATCACCGAAATTATGTCCATAATTACACTGATGTTAATCGATTTTTAAGTTGTATACCCCAGAGGAGTTTGCTCTTTTTTTTTTCTTTATTTTTCCTTTTTTTTTTGTAGAGCGGATTATACAACAAATATTTAACACCTTGCAGACAATGGAAGTTGCGGGCTTTATCGCTTTGAATTGCTTGCTGACTCGCATTTGAATTGGTTTTCAAATCCACTCAGTAAATTAAATCGTGTAGATTCCATTCGACGGGTAATAACCCGTCCAATGTTGAAAGTCAATAAAATATCAAGTTTTAATTTATTTTTTATATTCAGTATACAATATTTTGTTGTTGTTTGTTTCGTTGCCAATCAGCCAAAATGTTTGCATTCAAAGCACTCACACTAACTGCATGCTATTATCTAGAGCATGAAATCCAACTGACCGCCTCACTGGATCTCAACTGGACTGAACTAAACTGGACAAGTGGCTGGTGGCCAAGAGATTGCTAACAGAAAACAGAATCTACCAGATTTCGATCGGATTCGGATTCGGTTCCGAACGCCTTTTTATTGCACTACAAAGTGGATAAGCTTGTCATGGGATTAACTAAAGCCATTTGACTTTTTTAGTATTAAGGTAATTAAGTTATATAGATCCAGTAGAAAAAGCTGAATTTTTGATTCTATAGAGCTGTCATTAATTACCCTATTTCGTAGCTCAAAGAAACCTATTTAAAACTGATTAAATCTTCAATCGAGTACGCCCCATTCACTGCCATTCCACCCACAATTTGTTCAGCTCCTTTCCTTTCGCTAAATATGCCCAAATAATTCTGTCCACACTTGCCCAATCAGACCCGTTTCCGTAACTAATCTGTCTGGCGGTGCAGTGTATTGCAATTTACCTAAGCAGCATCCACCGACAATGGCTATGGAAAATAAAAAACCTCTGCAGCAGCCAATGAAGTCAATTACTCAATTCCCCCAGAGGGTGCCAGGAGGGCAATGGAGCGAGTGGGGGCGGTGGTGTGTACCTTGGGTGATGGCAAACAATTGCTGCTTGAAACTGAAGTTGAATTGGCGGCGAATGCAACCGAGTCCGGCTCTGCCTGCCCGCCCTCTTGGCTACTGAGAGCTCTACTAAAATTCCAATTCAGACTAATTTTGTTGGCTATAAGAAGATCACAAACACATACAAGACATCAAAGTGTTGACTTGACTAGAGGAAATAAGTTGGCTTTAAAGCTTAGACCAAGAATGGTGTATATTTTTGATAGTTTTTTTTTCTTGAGGGAAGCTATTTTAATAATATAACTTCTAAATAGCTTACTAATAGAGAAAATTGTATAATGTATACTTAATTGTTCCTTAAATATTTTTTTTTAGAAAACAGAATTCATAGTAACTTATTTTTAGTCATCACTGATGAAAATTCACGTGTAACCAGGCTCCGTGGAAATACTCTAGCTGAAAAGGCAGGGGCGCGAGAAAAACAAAAATAGTGAGGCGACTGTCGTCAGGCGGCCGCGTTCGTTTCTTAAGTCATTCGTTTTGCCTGACACTAAACTGTTGCACTAAAGTGTTGAGTTTGTTTTTTGGTGGCTGTGCTTTGGCTCTGTTGGGCTGTTGTTTGTTGTTACTTTGATTTTGTGGTGGCTGCTGTGGCTGTTGGCTCTGCTTGTTTGTTGTTGTTTGGCGCTTGTCGATTTTACAGCCAAGTTTGTTTTGGGCTTTGTACATACATACATTTAGTTATTTTTATTTTTGTGATTTTTTGCTGCTTGTTTTTCTACATTGCCATGTAGTTGGGTCAGGTTGCAGATTCGAAAGTGGGTCAATTTATTACTGCAATGAATTGGTAACGCTGTTGATGCTATTTGTTGCTGCTCGCAGGGTTTTTATTTTGCTTAAATTTAATTAACTGCAATCATTTGTTTTTCGTTGTCCGGCGTTTGTTGGCCGTGGTGGGCGTGTTCCTCAATTAACTGCCAACAAATTTTGAACACATTCCGCCGCATAGAGGGGGCCACAGAAAATGATGATGCTGCCGCGACCGGGGAGATAAGGGAAGGTCATCCCTCGGGGCCGATGGACCAGGAATA